CCGCTGCCCGGAGCTGCCGCCAAAGGTGCGTGAAGTCAACGGCCCGCACAGCGTCGGCGACCGCTGTTTCTCGGGTAGCCGCGCTTACCGGATTCTTGCCATGCTGGCTAATTCTGGAATGGCCACCAGCCACTGACCTGAGCTGAGCTGAGGACTCATCACATGATAGCGATCTGCAGCACACACATCTTTTCTTTATCCAGTCCAGATTTGACCTCTCCCAGCTTATATTTGTTCTCGTAGATTTTAACTTGCTTTAATTATGGTGTACGTTTTTTTTCGAGCCATTTGCTGTTTAAGCCTTATTCTACGTCGTAACTTACGACTTTCGCCCTTCACAAAGTCGTAAGTTACGACGTTGGTAGCGGAGGGGTTAAGGATGTGACGACTTGTCGTCAGAAGTTCGAGAACCGGGGTGGTTTCTACACTCTTTGGGTCTACCCCTGGGCTTCTTTCGAGAACTGTCCGAACTGGAACTCGTGTGAGAGTATGTTCTGGGCGTGGCTTGAATTTCTCAAGTACTCACCCTCGGAGTTTCGGGAACTCCATGAAGTTCAGCTGCTGTCACGCATTCTGGACCAACTTGATCTTCGTGTCCGGTTCGCCCACTTGGTCAGCATGCGCATGCTGCCAAAAGGCCTTCTGAAACGCACCGCCTCTGACGTTCACGATGAGCGCGGGTACGGAATGTCGTCAATGTCCGTACCCCGTTCGGGCAAGAGGCCCCGAACTGCGTACGAAGCTGCCATCGCTTCTGTTCCCAGATTGCGACAGCCTTCGGGCAGTCTTTTCAAAGCCATTCAATCGGCTCACACGAGTTCTCGGAGTGGGCCTAACCCCTTTACTTCACGAGGAGCTGGCACTATACGCGAAGCTGCCACTCCTGGAGAATTCGCTCCATGTGATAATGGACTTCTCCGCTCCGGTCAAGCAAGGGCGGAGGTGTCCTCGTATGAGAACGAGAGCCAGGCACCTCCGGAGCGCTACTTCTTTCCGAGTGCTCCGCCTGTGGGTCCGACACAATACCCTGAGGCTGGTCGCCTCCGTCAATGCGTCCTCGTGCTTGAGATTGACCTTAGTCTTGGGACTGGCGGTGATGCTACCGCCCAGACTGGGAATAAGGACGTGCTCGCTCGTCTTGCGGGTCGCCCGGGCCAGTTGGAGACGGAGGTCTCGACCCTGCATCAGCGGGTGGACCGCCGGGCCTCTTCGTCCGATCTTGACGAGGCCTTCCAAATGATTCTGCGTGTTAAGGTTATGTTGCAACGTCCGGAGCCCTCCCAGCCGTTCGCGTATGGTGCGTACTCGACGTACCTGGCGAGCTCGGCGTATGGCTCTGGGGCCCGTTTGTACGGGACCCCTCCGGTGTACGGTCTCGACCGCAGCCTTGCTGTTCAGCGTGATCCTTTAATGCCTGCTCGTCGACGACTGTGGTCGGACCTCGCTTCGAGGAGTTGGGCCAAGGTGGGTCTGCGAGTTAGCAACCCCCTGCGGATCATAGTACCGCTCAAGACGTCCAACGTAGAACATCGGGTGCCTCGTCATTGACTTAGCCAGGTCAATGGTGTACAACGCACCATGGCTGGTCAGAACCGCGGACGGTCTAATGAAGCAATGCTTCAACTTGTTGCTGCCGACAGAGTTGACAGTGTCTAGTGATAGGTTTCTTGTGTCTAATAACACTAAATTCCCACTTGAAACACAGTTAAGATTCCTCTTTCATGTTTGTTAGAGTACTTCGTCTGTCTGTCCTGGGCCACTGCCATTGCATCGCGGCCCTGCTGATCACACTCAGCTTGGAGCCCACAACGAACTTACTTGTTTCCGTAGCGAAACTGGTCTCACATCTGAGATAAGAGCTTTCCGATCATCTCCCCCACTTCGAAAAGAGGATGCAGCGTCTCCTCCAAGGGTGAGAGGCACTCTGGGGTGGCGGAAGTCATTCAAGTAGAGTGGCGTGAACCCCGTGGACGCGTGCTTCGCGTTGTTGATCCTATCATAGCATCTGGAAGTTGCGTCGACCACATACGTGGGGGTCAATTGAGCGACGCCAAGCGGTGTAAAGCTACTATGTAGTGGTGCTGTCGCTAAGGGTGATGCAGACCACGATGGAGGCGTGGCTTCGAATCACAATGCCGCTTGTTCTGCTCGGATGAGGGAGGTAGCCCACAAGGAACGAAATGTGGATACTTCCTTCTTGGTGGGGTCACTGCGGTCAAGTGCGGCTCGAATCAAGATCAGTCGAAGCTGTCTGTCAATGACATGTGGCTTGTGCAGAGCTCAAGCAATATCTCAATTCTTACTCTGCAGTTCACGACTAACGATTCGTTGAGGCTCTCTGTTTGCCCACTGAGCGTTGTAAGGGGCGGAGAGCGTGACCACCCCGGCCAAGACGGACAACGTGGCGCCGGCAGTGTTCGTGAGCGAGACCAACGTGGTGACGCTGCACGGGGTGGCGTTGGCCGGGGCCGGGCTCACGACTACACTGCAAAATCGGCTGCTACCAGTATTGGCGACAGTGACGCCGGGCAGAAGATACACGAAGCACCTGCTGCGCAAGGTGAGTGCTGCGCTAAATGAGGAAATTTCCAGCGTGTGCCAGACGAATGTGTGTTTGGGCTGTTTCATTACGTACGTCCAGAAAGCGTTGGGCGTGGCGAAGAGCGTGACCACCTCGTTCAAGACGTACAACGTAGTGCAGCGCGTCATGGCGCTGGCTGTGACCATTTATATCAGGAGGCATAGACCGGACCACGGACATGATGGACGGGGATATTAACATTCCCGAAGCTGCTGCCGACGAGCACTCAATAACCGTACGATCCTCACGACCACGAACGCGATCGTACACAGTATCAATGTAGCGGTGGTCATTTGTCTATTGGGACACGAGCGGGAAATGTGGCTTCATATTCAGTACTAGACGACCGTATTGGCAATTGTTTCGAACAAGAGATACTTCACTCAGTGAATGTAGGTGGTATTCCTTTTCATAAGCTAGAATCAAAGGTAGGAATGCCTATAATGATGATGTGGAACCTCAATCCAGATCTAGAATTGTGCAGACTTACATGGTTTCAAATCGTGGCCCTCAAGCCGCATATTATTTACGCCACAATCGTGACAGGTATCTTTGGCTGACTGGCGCACGAGCGGAGGAGAAGGCAGAAAGTGTGTGATTTTAGGCGATTGTAGCTGGCCAGTTATGCTGCGAAATTTAAATATCTAAAAGAAAAAGAAGAGTGGCGACAACAGACGTGATCGACCGTTGACGTACCGAGTTCAATTTGTCACTGTTATTGGGTCAGCGATGCCGTCGTGACTGCGAAAAATGTCAAATTCTGCTATAGAGTCAGCGTTGCCGTCGTGGCTGCGAGTACAGTCTTGGCTGGTCGTTGAACAGTCTTTGCAGCCACAAGCATTGAACTGAGTACGGCGTGCTCGACATTACGTGATACGTGTACCATCAAATGACTCGCATGTGAGGAATATAAGGTAGAAGTTGTAGGAATTGAGCTATGCAATCTAAGGCGCAGACGTAGCTTGTTACATCGATAGGTGTATCAATCGAGGTACCACGAAGGCTACAATCCTGGCTGTATGCAGACATTTGGGCTGTATCCATGGATAGGTAATATTTTTAACATACACAGGAAAAGGTACCGTATAAAAGATCTGGAACTACAGTTCGTAGTCAGTCGTTGGCCTTCTCTGTTAGATTTGAAAAATATCGGTGAATTCACCATTCGAAAAGTCAATTCTATAAGGCTATTCATTTAAAACAGTATGCGCTAAAATTAAGTAGAGCACACCAATGAGACTTCGAATTAATCCCTATACTACCTACATGAGCTGCGGTGCTGGCACTTGATATTGCTTAAAATTCAACGGCGAAAGATACTTAATTGTCTTGCCATAGGTTCGCTTGACTCTCGTCGAGCGAAGCTGAAGCCCTCGTTCAGCGCTTAGTTTTCGCCATGCGGCGAGCGATGTAGCCTCATGAACTTCTTTGGTGTGTGCTCCTCAAAGTTACGCATACATTTTCAAATGAACGGATCATAAATCATTGCTTCGAATCCATGACTCGAGGCTTACTAATATACGCAGGTAGATCACCGAGAATAATTATTCTATCAGGAAATGACAACAACTTGTTTTATTACAAAATTTGGTTGCTTTTTAAAAAGATCAATAGTGTGTGACTACTCTATTTTTTTTAGCTACCGTATTCCTTATGTGATTGGCGACGCTCGGTCATTAGCGACAAATCCAGCAGCCAATCAAATTGATTTAAATTTCGTGTCGTCGCGCTTTATGTGCTTGGCGACCAATATAATTTTAGCATGTTATATAGTTTTTTTTATGCAGGTATCTTTTATGCTGGCAGAAAGGCTGGACCACCTCAAGAATTTGACTGTCGCCAATCACATAAGGAATACGGTAAAGTAGCCACACATTAACTTTATAGTTGATCTTTTCATTAAAAAATTAACGCATTGGCAGTCTACCGGACCTTTTTTGCATTTATGGCATCTACGATATGATAAAATGGATTTTTAACTAATAGCAGAAGTCAATTCACCCAAAGCACATTCCTAATCTAGTCAGTTATAGCTTTACTGATTTCGCTAAAAAAAAATAGCTATTTCATTTAATCTGCCTATTTTTGGAAGCTCAATCGAAAAAAGCTACGTCGTGAAAAACAAGTCTAACACCAATTTGAAAGCCAAATTGGTGGTGGACTTGTTTTTCAGCGAGGTTTTATTCTGCTTCTGTAAAGAATTAGAATTAAACCTCGCTCAAATTGCTATTTGGGAGCAAGCCTAAATAGTTTTCGAGCATTTCAATTCTCTAGTACAGTAGGATAGAAGAAAGACACCAAAAGCTTGTTTTTTCAACAGCGTTGTCGCAACAGTAAGCTTACACCAAACTTTTGGTCCTTTATATTGTCCTACGGCTGAGCTAATCTCGTAACTGGCACGTTTGCTCAAGCTCGGAGACTATGTGGCGAGGTGGACCACAGAAGAGGAACAAGAACTTAACAGCACAAATGTTCCTTTGCATTTGCTTGTCGTCGTCAAACAATCACTACAATTAGTACCCCAACTGCTTCTCAAGGCTTCCACTAACACGCAATTACGCCTGTTGCTGAGGCTGATCTTGCCCTCCACCGCTCTGCTTCTCGTCACTGCCCTTGTTTTGGCCACCCTCCTTCTTTTTGCCACTTTCTCCTTGCTTCTCCTCGCTCTTCTTGCTCTCGTCGCCTTCCTGCTTTTCACATCCCTTATCGTTACCCTTATCGTCGCCCTTGTCGTTGCCTTTGTCGTTGCCCTTGTCACTGTCCTTGTCGTCGCCCTTGTCATCGCCCTTATCGCCATCTCCCCCCTGCTTTCCATCATCGTCTTTCTTTTCATCTTCTTCAGTGTTCCCGTCGTCCTGCTTTTCATCTTCGTCAGTGTTGCCATCATCTTCACTCTTCTCCTCCTTTCGGTCTTTTTTATCGTTGTCATATCATCGTCACCACTGTCCTTCTGCTTGTCATCATCGCCATCCTTCTTCTTGTCATCATCATCATCGCCATCCTTCTTCTTGTCATCATCATCACCGCCATCCTTTTGCTTGTCATCATCATCGCTGCCATCCTTCTGCTTGTCATCATCCTTTTTCTCGCCCACTTCCTTGCTCTTGCCCGAGCTGCTACTCTCCTGGGTCTGACTGGCCCCCGTTTGCGTGGGTGAGTTCTGCTGCTCTTCAGATCCGCGAAGACTGCCAGCGCCAAGCCGACGCCCAAACTGCACATGGTTGCTCTTCTCTTGCATCGTCAAGCCCCACGATGCATCTGCAGGCCCAGTGATCGAAGCAACAACCGCTGCGGCTAGCGCGATGACGCAAGTAATCTTCATGGTGGTGGTTGGGTCGGGTAAATAAATAGCTTGCTTAGCTACAGGTCAATTGGAAATTCTTTGGCTCGGCAAATTGCTGAATGAGCTCCAGTTAGTCAAGGTGCTCTGAGAGATGAGAACATCACACATGCTTCATTAATTTTTCGATCCGACATTTTTAAGTCACTCGGTATTACTTACAGACTTCAAATCGATTCTTCCCCTAAAGTCTGCGGCTCTTGCTACTTCAATGCTTGCGATGCTATCACTGAGCTGGAAAAGTCCTCAGTCGTTCCTTACAAACACCCGTACTATAATCGAACTCAACTGGGCATTATTTGAAGTTCACGACCTCATCCATCTACCGCCACCTTCGTCATTACCGCGTCTTACGATGCAGCAGGAAGCTGGACATGCGGCACTCGGGATCCTCGCATTCTTTTACAGCCAATTGGATCGTCCCCAATACAAGCGATTCCTGTCCTGTGACGGCGACGGAGAACGTGAACGCATCCAACCCACGGAAACCAGCGTCCGGGACGTACTTGACCATTCGATCGCCAACCACTCTCAGTAACTTCAACGCTCTGTCGCCTTCAAGACCCACGTAGAAGTACGGGTCGAGCTTAATAGCTGCTAGGCATTCTGCGCTACAAACCGAAGACGGAAGACGCAGCTGACGCTCACTGGGGTCGCGCAGAGCTTGCACCGCTCCATATTCCTGATAGCTTAGCATGAATTCTTTGAGTTCGCGCTCTCGATTATTCGAGGATAGCTCAGTATAACCATTGGGGGAATATCGGCGGAGATACGTGTCTGCCTCAATGGAATCCAGTAGCCCATTGCCATCGATATCGAGGTGGTCGCGTTCTGTCTCGTCCAGACCGACGTACAGCGTCCCATGTCGCGGTAGAGCGTGGAGTTGAGCCTGGAAATCCATGAAGTAAGACACCGTTTCTCCTGCTTGGTTTGTGATAAAAAGCACCCAGTCGGAGATGCCGCCTGCAGTGGTATTCGGTCTTGGTGGGGTCAGGCTGCTCCCATTAACTGCCGTATCCTCAACCGCCAGAGTCCATGCACCTTCACTTGGCATACCACTAAAAGTATAGCGGAAAGGCTCTTCAGGGGACCACATTTTACCACCTGGATGATACGCCGTTCGAACGGGGGTTCCGCCGGCGTACTGCGACAAAACGTGACTCTGTTCCGTGAACACTTCAACTTCCGCTATCGACAAAACTCCACGGGGCAGTTCGGCTACGAGTCGCACGTATTGCGCCTTGGTGCCGAGCGGAGGCATTACTGAAATAACGCTACGATTCGCCTGTCTTTCGTCGACGCGATAAGAAAAAATGGCTCGAGCGTAGGCATCCGCGAAACTCTCAACGTCCATTACAGCCGAGCTGTCGGACAACAAGACCCAGAACGGAAACATGGGCTGTTCCGTGTCTCGCACCGACGTACTGGCGCTAGGCTTGGACGGTTCTCCCTTCCGGTACACAATAGGATCACTATCATCGTCAATGGAAAGTGGGGCACCGATCCGGACTATCCCTTCCCCACCACAGACGTCGTTAACGCCAACCGCTAGAGCTCCTTGTGGGTTATCTAGGAACGTAATATGCCACGTGAAAGCTCCATTCCGTGACGACGCGGCATCCCGGGGCTCCCGTGTAATCAATAAACGAGGTATGGCGCTTCCTAAAGCCATTAATTTTGCTTGAATCGACTCTCCGCGTCCGACACCTGACGCAGTGATACGAGCTTTCTCGTCTGCAATCATCGCCACTGCGTTGTGACCTATAGACTTCGTTTCTAGCTCTGTATCGTGTGTAATAAAGATTAACGTGAAATCTCCAGTCACGGTAGAAATTCCATCGTTCGAGTCCACTCTCAACGTGAAAACATCGACTGGAACGCTCGGGTCGCTATCTGCTATCCAGATACGTATCGTGCCGACCGTGGCAACGTCTAATAAGCGCAACTCCCACCACGAAGACTCATTCGCTTCGTTTGCAGGTAAGGTTCTCGCCACTGTTTGCGTTGATACAGCCACGCCTCGAATCTTCCCATCGATGGCATTCATGGGTCCACAAGTGCCGCTTGTAGAGCTCTGTAACGCTGTAGCGCCGCCACCAAGAGCCAAGTTCTTCACGCCGTTGAAATCGCTAAAGCTGTAGTCCCAACCAACGCCACTAGTTGGATTCCGTGGCTCAGACGCAAGTTGAGCTCGGTTGATTAACACATTCGGCATTTCGGGTTCACCAAAGGCATCGCGTGGCGTACAGCAGCCGTCAAAGATGATACTCTCGCGGTTACCATGAAAGAGACGAGCACGAAGGTCTTGAGCTCTAGGATGGTACAACCCACGAAGCTCCACTCGAACGTCGCGTACTAGCTGAAACTTCGACGACAAGCCGGATGATTGGCTGCGGATGAGGTCGACATCGTCCAGATCACTAGGAATGAGACTGAGATCCGCATCCAGAACTGGAGCTGCTGCGAATCGAGCGATTCGCCCTCCGTTCAGTTGAATGGCTGCATGAGCATCGTACGAGAAATCCTCGAGATTCACGTCGTCACTTCTTACCACGTAGAGGAAAACCGTCTGCGTCCTGGAGCTTCTTGACGAGTCGTACGTGGCAACACGTGATGAATTCTGGATCGAAAGTGACGGGATTCCTAGCACCTGAACGGGTGTGGACCATTCGACAACCACATCGACGCTCTCACCCGTGACGTACACACCTGGTCGTTTATTAGTGAACACGTGAGTCACTTGAGGTCGATCCGTGTTGATTCTCAGCGCATGAGCGTAGCTGAGACTTCTGTACAAATCACTCGCAGCGTCCAGATCCTTCGGGTCTAAAGCAGGGGTGCCTCGAAAACACCCTAGCAAATAAGGCGCTGTCAAAGTCACATGATAACGGTACGTGCCGTCGTCGCCTACTCGTCCATTGCAAGCGTCAAGATCACTCGGCGTCTGCCCATTCTCCCCATATGGTCCGTACAAGGGGAAGCCGTCAAACGCGAAGCCTATCAACGGCGACGGCTGTCCAGCTTTATCGCCGAGTTCATGTAGAAGACAGTCCGGACTTGCGTAGTATCTGTAGTCACCTCCCGAATCGACTAGTCCGTTGCATTTATCTAGCAAACTATACGCCGGGTTACTGGTATCTACCACAGCTCCACCGTAAACGTCGGAGTAGGCAGCGAAAAAAGGGACTCCGTTTACCATAACGCCGATCGGTGTATCCCTCGGTAACGACGTCGTAGCTCCAGCAATTGCAGGATGTCGTGGAAACTGGAAAACGTAGTCTTGTTTGTATACACTGAAGCGATTGTAGGCGTTCGGGAACGATCCGTAGCTTTCCGAAGGAACACCACTGCTACGGACAATTACCGTGGTTGACGTGTATACCACCGACAGTCCTTCAGGGTTGAGCCATGTACCAGCGTGGTAGACTTCAGGGTTATCGTCGATCACAAAGCTGTTGAATCTGGCTAACTCAGAGAGTGACAAACCTTCCACGGCAGAGATATCGGATGGGTACCGGAAGACTGAGAGGGGAGACTGAGACCCGATGCCTTTAAGACAAGGCATAAACGGGGAAGCGGAGGTTTCAGGCGGTACCAAGTGGTAAGCGTACTGTCCGTCGCGTCGAATACGGCCGTGGCACTCGTCCAGGTCACTGGGAAGCTCTCCGTTTTCATCGTAGTAGCCGTAGATGGGGAAACCATCCAGTGCGTACGCAACAATCACAGACGGAGGTCGAGTTCTCAGACCTGTAATGCTTCCTACAGCGTCACGAGGCTCGTGAATTGCTGCGAGATAACACATTGGTAGGTTCACGTAGAAGTAGTGACCGTCCGCGTCGACAGCTCCGCCACATTCGTCTGTGCTGTTGGCACTTTTGTTGCTGCTTCTGAATAAAATTCCGTTGAAAAATACGCCACTGAACGCATCAGACACTCGCGACAGATTGAGAGTTTGACTCTGCAGCGTCGGGAATCGTTGGAGCTCGATAAAATACTTTTTCTCCTTGATCTTCTCGTCTAAAACTGTATCGTGGCTTGGAACTCCGTTGCTGTAGATATTGATAGCAGATTTTTGATGCGAAGTACTGAATTCATTCTTCAATAATCGTAAAGTGTTCTTCTCGGTACCAGTACTTGGCTCCATCTGCGTGACACACACGAAACCATCACTTGCCGTGGCAACACGTAGCTCTGCCCAGTCGCTCACTTCGGGAAGATCCAGTACAGCGTCCGTAACTGGGACAGTTGATGACCGCTTGATACTGCTCCCACTTCCTCCAAGCTGCAGTGCGTTGGCTGTAGTAGAACAACGCACCAATTTACTCCATTTGCGTTGAATATAGGCACCTCGTTCAGAAAGAGGACAAGGTTTGTACTCTAATCGATCAGCACGGTCCCCGATCTGAACCTTATAGTCGAATAATAGCACTGAAGAACCGGATCCCAAGACGTACACGGCCTTCTTGTCTGCATCTGACGTGTCTAGATTCCCCGTATTTAACAGCAATGTTGGCGGTGGACCACTTACAGTCACTGGTGTTGAGAACGTCACTGAGATCGTGAGTGTATCTCCCGCTGTATAAATCCCATCGTCCATGGAGCTCCCTACACTTAGCACCCGTGGAGGCTCCAGTGTATCAATATGAATGTCACGATTATTACTGAGACTTCCTGTTGCACCCGGCACAGGCAGTCGCATCGATGCGTATCGGTATTTCTTGTCACCTGCAGTGAGTTGAGCACTCGGAGACGTCATCGAGAGAGCGTCCATCCCCGCGTATTCCAATGGTAACGTCATGTCCCCTTCTCGAACCGAATACGTGAATGTCAAGACATTCGTTCCCGATCCTCCTGTATACCTTGCGTACGGCTCTTTCGTGCTCTCAAGCAATGCATCAACTGGTATATTCGAGGCAACTGCGAGTCGTAAACGCGGTGTAGCTCCCATTGGAACCAGAACAGCTTCGGAAAAGGCCATCGCAATGTCGATCGCTTGTCCTGCGCCGTAAACTCCGTTCGCTGTTCCAGACGACACTGAGGTGATTCGCGGGGATGACGCATCGATTCGGAGTGCGGAATTGAAGCTGAGACTTGCCACTGCACCTGGTAATGGCAACGTGTTTGAGGCTTGCAGAGATGGTACCGCTGTGAGCTGAAGAGCGGTACACTGCAGACTATTTGCTCCAATATAGTCCAGACGAGACGAATGGTCCCCGATCTGAACGACGTACTCAAATTCCAGCTTCGTTGTGGTAGATCCGCCAATGTAAACCGCTTTTCGACGTTCAACGTCTCCAACTGCAAGAGCTATCGCACAGAGCTGTGAAGCCGCAGAGCTAACATAAACCGGAAACGAGAAGCGTATCTGGAGGCGAAGAGTGTCATAAAGTCCATAGTTCCCATCACGGGTAACAGCTCGAACGTCTAAAACACTCGGAGGTGTTGAAACTACGTTAATTGCTGTAGAACTCGCCAAACTTCCAGCATTCCCAGGAATCGGAAGCTCCAAGTTCGCTGCAGTCATCGGCGTGGTAGATAACGCAAGGATTATACCTGTTAGAGCATTTATACTCGCATAATCTAACCGAGAAGAGGAGTCCCCACTTGAAATTTGCATCGTAAACTCGAGCGTATCCGTTTTATCTCCTAAAAGGTACATCGCAGCACGAGTTCCCGCATCAAATCGAAGTAAGAGCGACGGTGGAGGATTCGAAAAAGTAACTTTTCGAGTAAAAACAACTGCGATATGTAAAGTATCCCCGACGCCATAGCTGCCATCACCGTCCTTGCAGTAGACACGCTGGACCAATGGACGCGTCGAAGTGACTTTAATTCTGTAATCGGCCGATAAACTTCCAGGTTGAGCAGGAATTCCAAGACGTAAGGGCACGTAGATCCCTTCAGTGTCAGAAATTACGCCCCCATTAAGTTCCAACGCGCTTCGAGAGGCAGCTTCCAGCTCTGTACAGCTATCTCCAGTCGTCACAATGTACTCAAATCGAAGCTTAGACGTCCCTGTTCCACCACTATAAGCTGCATATGCTGCAGTATTAGAGTTTAGCTTCAAGCGAGGACTTCCTTGGACAGCCGTGGGGCCTGTAAAGACTACCGAGAGGACGATTCTCTGACCAGGAGAGTAAATCCCACTCGGTACATCGGACTGGATTGCTTTAACCCGAAATCCATCCGTTCTAACGAATATCTTGCGATCATTTCCAACGAGACTCAAGACGGCGTCAGAACGAACAGCAACTCCAGGAACAGGCAGCTTAATGTCGGCGAGCAGTACTGGGTTCAAAGAGCGACACAGGATTTCTGCGGGGTTCTGTAACAACTCCTTACCCCGAAGGAGTGGACGGAGAATAAGAGAGTTGTCGTCCAAAATATCCAAAGCCAAATTTCGGGAATTGTCTCCTCGTTTCGGGAAATACGAGAACCGAAGGATGTTCGTGTCTGATCCGTCAATGTAAACTGCAGTGCGACTGTATTCGGACGGAACGTTGAGAATAACTTCGGGAATTCCCGTAACGACCACTGGACGCGAAAAAGTAAGCAAAATGTCGATCTGTTCTCCGATGTCGTAGGTCCCGTCAATGACTGGAGATTGGATTCCCATAACAGTCGGCGGAGTCGAATCCACAATGATATTCTTGCTAAACGACAAGGATCCTGTCAGACCAGGAGCAGGCAACGCGGTCACTGCACTCGTAAACGGGTTGGTCGAAGCTCTTTTGATCTCTGAGTATCCTGCCAGCTGTAGCGACAGCACGAAGTAAGCCCGATCGTCTCCCACTCGGTCGTCTACCACATCCAATCGAGTACTATTGTCTCCGATTCTAACTTTGTACTCAAACGAAAGCTTCGCAGTACCGTTGCCAGAAACCAGAAAAGCTCGTGTTGGGGTATTGCCACCAGTTTCCAGCAGTAAAACCGGAAATCCAAATACTACGACAGGTAACGAGAAAACTACATCAACAAGAATAATATCTCCAGGATAGTACGTGCCGTCGGGAGTCGAAGAAGTCACTTGAACGACACTAGGCTGTGTAGGTTTAATCACAATGGCACGGCTTCCACTGAGGGAATTGGCTGTCTTTACAGGTGGGAGGGTGAGAGCAGCACTCGTCGTAGGACGCGTCGCATTCCGTTTGATAGCCCACGTACTTCCATTGAGCGCTAACGAAGCTGTATCCAAATAGTCGAGCTGTTCACAGTAATCCTGTTGATTGGTGGTGTACTCAAACGTGAGGACACTTGAACCAGATCCTCCAGTATACGTCGCCACTCCTTGAGAACTCGTGAGTAAATGAAGTTCATCGGAACGAAGTGATAGAGTTGGAGGACTCGCGGGATCTCCTTTGATCACCACAACAGGAGAGGAAAACGTGACTTGAATCTCGAGAACTTGCCCAACTCCGTATTCCCCCGAGGGATTCTTGGACGTCACACTAAGCACCGTAGGCGGCGTCGTATTGATCGCCAGTTTGCTATTGTAACTCAAGCTTCGCAAATTCGCTGAATCCGGGAAAAGCGTGAAATCGGGATCTTTTCCCGAGATATCTCGGATCACAGCGCCGTTGAGTTTTAGAGCATCTTGGCCCAGGATCTCTAACTGCGGTGAGGACTCTCCTGGCTGCACCACGTACGTGAATGATAGCATTGTGGTTGTAAGCCCGCTCTTGTCGATACACGCAGCAAAGCCGATTGGATTAGACTGAGTCGCTAACATAAGTACGGGGGCTCCAGCTACCGTCTCACCGAAGGTACTACTCGTCGTTCCAGGAGTTCTAGGCACAACCGCATAGTGACGGAAGCGCAGTTTGATAGAGTAACCATCATACTCAGTCCACACGAGGCCTGGCTGCGGGTTATTATTCGAAGGGGTAGAACACACGAGGAATGAGTCGATGGCGTCACGTTTTGGGTTGTGGTTCAAGTTACTTTGGTTCCCAGCTTGAGTCCACCCCTTGTAAACATCAACTCCAGACGGAAGAGTGGCCAGTTTTAAAACATAAGCGGCATCTGCGCTCTTTCCCTCCAGATCTAGCCACGACGAGTAGATTTTGTCTCCACAAGTGACAAATTTTTGTTCGATCGAGTTCGGATTCGCCTTATCCACTGTCGTCTTCTCCTCCGCTGCGTTGATTGTTCGAGGGATACTACCAGTAGCTGAGGCTTCCCAGTCCACGTCCAGCACTTGACCAGTGATGACTTCCGACACGTTGCTAGTCACCGTATCTCGATACCACGAGATCAGCAGCGCCATGTCCTCGATCCCTTTCCGTCGTACAGCAAACTGCGGTTTGTAAGCGGACAGAAAACTATATGTGGGGAAGGTAGAAGGCAGCGCATCCAGATACGTCCACGTCGAGAAATCCCGAGTTTGGATATTCCGTCTTGCAATCACGATCTCGTACGCTCCGTCGTCATTCATTTCAGTCCAGGAAACATACATTCTCCCGCGGTAAACTACTGCAGTGGGGTCACTTGCATCCATACGTTTGTTCTTATTGAGCCCCGAGTCGATCTGGTTGCCATCATGGAAAATCCACAGCGGAGCGTCAACGTCGTAGTTAAGAACAGCCACTCGGATCTGTCCAGTTAAGGTGCTACTACCAACAGGAAGGGACTTTTCTCTCCATATCACGACAAGTTCGAGGTTGTAAGCGAGTAGTACGGGGTCACTAGCAGCCATGGCCATGTTCTTGTTGATCCCCATGTTCGGGATCAACGTCCACGGGTTCGTCGAGGGAATTCCCTCAAATAAGGCACAGTAGAGCAAACCTCCTTCGTCCCAAGCCGCATAAAGATTCTGCTTCCAGACCGTCATCGCCACTTTCTCAATAAACGTATTGGGCACACGGTTAATCGCGGAGACTGAAGTGGTGGGCACAACGTTCAACGTATCACTGGAAAACACGCGCAGATATAGAAAACTCTTCGTGGGAGCGTGCATATCGTCGCGTTCCGTCCACATTATGTAGATATTCCTCTTGAATTCCAGCGCCACGGGGTACCGAGCGTGCCAGTCTTGGTTCCGATTGAGGCCTGACAGTAGAACGATCTCCTTGGAGAAACTCACTTGGATTTCGATCAACTCTCCCGCCCCGTATTCTCCGTCGTCATGGGAAGAAGCGAGTTTTACCGCCGCAGGGACGGAATACGCGTCAATTATGATAATCCCGCTGCTAATTGTTAGTTTCGGGAGAATTAGTGACGCACGAACAGACATCGTTGACGATAAGCAATAGATAGTCGCTCCACTGAGTACGTTAACATTTGGGAATGCGAGGTTTGCGCTGTAGTCATCGACTTGAATATGGTAGAGGAAAGCCACTTGGTTCGGTTGAGGTTGACTGACAAATCTGGCGAATCGATTTGGAATAAATTCTCCACTTGGACGCAAAGATCCCGTCGCTAACTCCACTGTTGGGGTCCCAGTTACAGCAACCGGACGAGTGAAAACGAGATGGAAGAGAATCTCTCCTGGAGCTATAGACAACGGACTGGCCACAGCAGGAAACCCAACGCCGTATGTCCCTGCCGCTGAGTCCGAAACAATATCGGAAATTGTAGCCGGAGTTCCGTCAACTTTGAGGGTTTTAGTCTGAGCCAAATTCTGCGGTGACGTCGGAACATTTGCTACAATCACGGGAGATCCAGATTGACGTAGGATAGACGCGTCACCGAAATTGAGAGAGATTGAGGTGCTAACGACGTTGAGGACTGCAGCGGTATCCCCAACGCCAACGGTATAGTGGAACACAAGCTGCTTGTCCGTGGCTCTAGAGACCAGAGCTTCCTGTGCAGTAGACGATGGTTGAAGAGGGTCACACATGTCGGATACTGTCAGCTCAATGGAGAGAGGAACGTCGACAACCTTCGTAGAGTCGAAGAGAATCTCGAACCGGTTCCCGTTCTTCTTCTTGGCCATAGTCACAGACAATATCCCAATCCGAGCAATGGATTTGAGCTCGAGTAAACGAGATTTTAGCGACGTTTCTGCGGAGCTGCTTGCATCATTGAAAGCAATACAGCCCGATACTTCATCGTCGTAAGCGATGGCAAATTGTCCCGATGTTACAGGAGCGACAGCGTTTACCCCAATGTCAAGTAGCTGACGATACCCCGCATACGTAAACTTTGCTGTTCCACCAGAATTTAGCGATAAAGATGGGGTTCCTATTACAGATACATCTGTCGAGAATGTCGCGATGATATCCACGACATCGCCTGGGCCGTATCCAACATCCCCTATCGCTGTATCTGCACGACTCGAGGTAATTAAAGTGACAATTGGTATGGTCGTATCGACAACCAACGCGTTGTTCCCTGCCAGGCTTGCACTCGCCAACATTGGGAGTGTCGTGTCAGCGTCGATGCCAGAGCCAGAACACAACGCACACTTCATCTTTGACTTTGGAACAGTAAACGTTCGTAGAGCAGATACCGACGCGTAGTTTAAGTCAGTCGACGCTTCTCCCGGCTGAACTTCGTAGTAGAATTTCAGCACGTCCGTCCCACTTCCAGACGTGTAAAGAGCTTCACCTTTCGAGTCCAGCTCAAGAATTGGTTTGCCCTCCACTAAAACCTTGTCAGAGAACTCCACCAGCACGACGATCACGTCTCCAGCAGTATATATATCATCAATAGTAGGCGAATAAACGCGATCAACCACGGGGATTTTATCCGATCTCACAACTGCCATAGAAGTCACCCCATCCTGTGCCACAAGTGCAGTTGGCGGTGGGAGAGTTAGCGATGCAGCTAGCACCGGATTCATCGATGACCGCAGAATCGCTCCCGTTAAAGAAGTCGTACTCTTGTACGTAAGGGTCGTAGCTTCATCGCTCGACTGAACCAGATAGCGGAGCGAAATGGCTTCAGATTTCGCACGAGTTACCTCAAAATCCGCGTTTGACCTTACAGAAAGACCGGTACAGGCACCGGTTGCTCCACCCACCAGTTTACATGTAAATGCCGCGCATCCAGCATCGGTGAGCGCTAAAAGTGGGCTACGAGCGTCCACCAGATTCGAGAATCTAGCGTAAAATCTGATACCGTGTATATAAGCGGACGGATCTTTCACAATTTGCACGGGAATGACTCGGTCGCTCTCCAGATGCTTCAGAAAAGCCTCCATTGAGCTCGATGGACCCTTTGCTCGGATGTTCCAGGGTATACATCCACTTATGGTATCTCCGAGCTGGATTTTTATTTCTCCAGATAAAATTTCGGAATCTGCTGTGATATCGATCGTTTGTGTACTGGCAGCGATTCGAGGACACGTTGACGAATCTGCTGAGACCAAGTCTAACATGTCCCCACTATTGCGAAATTCGATAGCGTAGCGATATCCGCTGCGTAGTTTACGTCTAGAAATCGAGCGGACTCCAATGGTGTTAAGCACAGCGATCTCTCTCAACTTGGACAGCAGCTCTTGCACTTCGTCGTCATCATTTGTCAGGAGTTCAATACATTTCGTTGTATAGATCGGGCCCACACCCACACCCGTACTAAAGTCACCATAGGACAAGCGGAATCCTCCACCAAGCAAGGAGCTAGCCATGTTCACACCGACATCAAACTCCTGCAAGGCGCTTCGTGTTGTGTAGATAGCGTCACGAACTGTTGCTCCAGTATCGATACTTAACTTCAGGTTTCCGGTGGGTACAACCACGGGAAAGGAGAATCGTACCACGGCATCGACGACGCCTGCTGCAGTCCGAATGTCCGAGTTTTGGCTCGGTTGGATAAGGCCGAGATCGCACGAATAGCGAGTCGATGGAGGATCACACGTGAGCTTTTGACACTGCACACCAGGAATTGATTTCACTTGAAGCGGTAGAATACCCATTGTCGGAAAAATAAATGTAATTGTGTAGCGATATCCGTCGTGGAACGCGGCAGTATCTTGCGCTACGGAGACTTTTAGGGCCAATCCTGTAATCGACTCCAGAGCAGACTGAATCGATCCGGCTCCTGTAGCTGGTGCGTTCCAACTTATACATGAGGTCTTTGTATCCCCGTAGATAAGTTCGTAGTCTCCTTGTTTGATTCTTGCGACGTTAAAAACGTCAATAGTCTGAACAGTATTAACCGATGTGATAGAGGAGTAGATATCTCCAGCTAGAGACACGCTTTGAACTGCTGGCTTGGATGTTTCAACTCGAATCGAGTGGCCAAAATCCAGAGATCCTGGGGAATTCAGCTCTGGAAGAACCAAGTTGGCAGACGTCACTGAAGTCGTGGACTCGCGAAGAATGCAGCCTTGGCTCATCGACTGCCACTCCTTCACCGAAGCCTCCAGGACACTGCCTCTAGCGTGGGTTTTACCGCTTGAATGCGTCTCTAACCAGACTGTGATGACAGTACCTTGAGATTGTTTAAAAGCCAGAGTGGGACGCGTAGCCACATGAGAGACGTCGCCGTTTATGACCGAGACTTTCGTTCCTCCATCCACAAATTTCCAGTAAGCTGTGCCTGTCAGAAGAAGCTTCGCTACTCGAATCTGTGTAGCAGTACCAGTACTATCCATTTCGTCCCAAGTCGCAAACAAAATCTCAGTTGCTCCTAGCAATTGCACTGACAGTTTAAGGTTTTGAGCCGGTTGAGTCGCATCAAAGTTCAAACCATTTCCGCCATCCAGTCGCGTCCACTGTGGTGTCGTAAAATCTCCGTTAAATTTTTTGATAAAAAGCACTGACCCAGAAATGCCCGTGGCTTCTTGCCAGCCAAGAACGACGCTAGAGTCTCCAATACACTGAATCGACGGCGAGGTCGCGATCTTTTGCGTGTTAATATTGAGTCCAGTCGCTGTATTCCCATCGACAAATCTCCAATTAGGAGCAGAATCCGTTCCTGTTTGGACCGCAACGCGGATTTGTGCTGTACCGGATAACGTTGATGTTTCTGACCAAGCAGCATAAAGAGTTTTGGTTGTGCTTCCCTTCGATCCACACGAGCACAAGTGCACATTCTGGGCTGGTTGAGTAGCGGCGTAATTCAGTCCACGAGCGTTCTGGTTTCCATCAATAAACGTCCACTCTGGAGCTGTGTCTATCCCTGAAAAGACTGCTACTCGGATCTGAGTAACACCCGATGGATTCTCATGCCACGCAACGTACATCTTTGAATTGTGCACCACCACATGAGGACCTGCAGCATGCGCAGTGGGAACCTTGTTGATGCCCAAGTTCGAAGCAGGTTTAGCGTCAACAAACGTCCACTGGGCAGGTGAGTTCAGACTGGAGCGACTGGAAAGAGTAGCCACGCGGATCTGGGTCGGATTACTGGTAGCACTGCTGGCTTCGACCCAGACTAAATAGAGTTTTGACGCGAATATCACCAGTTCTGGAGCACTTGCGTCCATTGTGGAGGCAAAATTCACAACAGACGACACTTCGCCGCCGTCTTCAAAGCTCGAAAGCGGCGGAAGTTGCTGCAAGTCGAAGGATTTCACGCGAAGCTGTCGAGTATTCATGCTTGACGACATTTCAGCCCAACTCGCAACGAAAACGTCTCCGAATAAAACAGCAGTCGGCGGTCCAGCGTTCTGTCCTGAATCTTTGTTTAAACCGTCCCCACCTGAACATTTAAGTGCAGTTCTGCCGAAATACGAGAGTTTACTGGCGGATTGGCTAGCTGCTACTGTGAACGAGAAATAAACTGCGTCGTCCTCAGCTGCAACGTAAGAAGATGCGATACCGTCGCCCATTCCAAGGTTCAACAGCAACGTTGGAGCTCCAGCGCCCACCGATAGCGGAGGTACATAGATTGGGTAATTGAAGTTCACAAAGACGATAATTGAGTCTCCAACAGTGATCACTTGGTCTTGGAATCGTGTCGATACTTCCGTCACAACTGGGGGCGAAGTTTGGATAAATAAATTGTCCTTAATCTTGAGTTGACTCAGCTGCGATAGCGGTAAGAGGGTCGACGAGAGTGCAGAGCTGACCACACCTTTGATAACCGCACCATTGGTTCTGAGAGAATATATATCCGGATACAAAAATTGACCCGAAATATCTGAGTGTTGGACAACATAGTTGAATACCAAAGTCTTGGTTCCTGTTCCAGACTGATACACTGCATGCTTCCCAGTGGAAGTTACCAATGTTGGTATGCCACCTGTGGTATCGACACTCACAGAGGCAGAATATTTTACTAAGAGATCAATCGATTCGCCAGCTCCAAACGTTCCTTCTTCGTGGGAAGTAGAAACATCCGCCACCACTTCACAGCCTTGGTTGACTGAAATACCCTTCGATGAGAGTCCTGCTCCAGGTAGATCCAGTATTGCAGGTAGCATGGGAGCTGCAGCTTTCCGTCGAATCCAACCCAAACTCGAACCATAAGCTGCTCGTAAAGAGTTTACATTTTTGACATCTAATACCGTCGCTTGGTCATCTTTCAGACAGTCAAACTTGAATTTCAGCGACGTTGTGCCACTTCCACCCGAATAAACCGCCAGTCGTTCGACTCCTGCGGTGGCGATATTGGTCAAAAGAGAGGGTACGGGGGAAACCACGACAGGTAAGTTAAAAACCACTTCGAAATAGATTTCATCGCCAGCTTTGTACACTCCGTCGCGCGTGATTGGCTTCACTTGAGTGACATGGGGAGCATCAGTATTAATGACGAGAGCTGCACTGGCGCTAAGACTTCCAGTGGTTCCGGGCGTAGCTAGAGTTAGAACAGCGTTCGTAAATGGCGATGTAGATAGTCGCCTAATAGATCCGGATCCTAGCTGCAAAGCCGTGGTGGAGATGTAAGCTAGACGAGCTGATACGTCTCCAATTTGAACTGTGTACACGAACGTAAGCGTCTTCATTCCACTTCCACTCGAGTACTTGGCGGGTCGGAAGCCTGGAGTGTAGATCGGCACATTGGCTCTTAGTGACAGAGCAGCTGGTACAACCTTCGTCCCTGTGTATGTTTCCACCATTGTCACTTCATCTTTAAGAACCGAATCGACGGTCAAAATCTGGCCTTCAACTTTGAATTGGAGTCCCTTGCTTGACTGTGCTGAGAGTCCAAGAGAATACGAGGGAAAGACGACGGTCTCGTTAGACGTAAACGTCGGCGCCTCCAGCACGAACTGACCAGGAAACAGGTCAACGGAGCTTGTGCTTAGCAGTAAGTGAGGCGATCCAGTCACTACAACAGGCATGTCGAAGGTGACGATCACTGGGATCACATCTCCAGCCGTGTATAATCCGTCTTTTGCGGCTGTCGTGACGCTCAGAATCTTTGGTCTTGTAGTGTCGATGACCATGTTTTTATTGACTGACAGGCTTCCCGTTTCTCCGTTAAAAGGAAGCTTCAACACAGCGTTAGTAGTGGGTGTCGTTGACCTCCTTTTAATCGATCCACCGTTTAGCTGCAACGCCGTCGTACCCGTATACGTGAGATCTGGCGATGTATCCATGGACTGAACAATGTACTTGAACTCTGCAATGTTTCCTGCTAGCACTTGACTAAACGGAATAATTCGATCCACTGCACCCGTCTCCAGAACAACAGTAGGCAAACCAGTCACCACGATCGGCTGGGAGAAATGAACATGAACTAAAATCTCCTCTCCAATGCCAAAAGTTCCATCTTCGTGAGGAGAAGTCACTATTTCCACGTATGGAGGCGTCACGTCGATCTCCAGTGCGCTACTTTTCGACAAACTTGTGCCAATTCCTCGTTCCCAATCGCCTGCAAAACCCGGAGGTGGCAGGATAGTATTAGCAATTGTGTTTGTGCCATCGTCATTTACAATCCTCACACCACCATTCGCTCGAAGCGATAGCGCAAGCGAATCACTGTTAGCATACTCCAGTCTCGTCGTGTTATCTCCTTTCTGTATCGTATACCCGAACTTGAGCGTATCCGGAGCTGTTTGCGCTACAAAAAGCGCTTTCCGGTCCGGTACAAGTACACCTTTCCGTATCTCCCACGCTGTGGACGTCACAGAGGGCGGATACATGACATGACCCAGCACGGCACCGTCCCCCACTGCGTTAGTGGCATCTCCCGTCATTTCTATCAAATCTCCATCCGTTCCTGCAATATTCATGGACTCGAATGTTATCGTAATATTGTTCCCGAAGAACGTACACGCTCGATCCTCGTCGATGCTGTATTTGACGCTCACTTTGTTGATGCGATTCATTCTCTGCAAATACTCAGCGAACACTTTCGTTGAGGCGTCCCAGGGGATATTCCCCACTTTCTGGCTTCCAAATCCTACTGCAAATTTCCCCTTGGTCGCCATACACCTCAGTCGCTGAATTTCCTTGACATAGCACGAAGTAGCGTGGCATCCCGTCTTGAGAATTATGGAAGGGGAGCCGGAACCCGAAAGTTTCACGGAGCTGGTATATTTTACAAAAATGTTGATAGCTTCGCCCTCTCCACATTTCCCGTCGACATGATCGGAAAATACTCGCAAGACCTTTGCAGGTCCCTTGGGCCGGATCTGAATTGGCTCATGAGGCACTTGGATGTTGAGTAGCAGCTCTCCGCCGTCGGGAATGAGTAAGTTGGCGTCCAGTCGGATGCTCTTGGAGGTGTCGGCGTTTACGACTGTATCGGCATCAGCAGCTTGCGGAATGGGCTCAGTGGAGTGCGTAGGCGCCAAGAGAAACAGGAGAGGAATGAGAACGAGTACCAAATTCTGCAGGGTCCTCATTGATAATGTACATGTGTCGCTTCGCCTCCAACAGGATCCGGTTTCTCTTTACTTGATTTTTGTATTGGCGTAAGCACGATAGTTTACGCTTTCAGCGTAAATTACCGCATAATTAAGTAGGTTAGAGTTTAAGGTAGAGTTGCAGTACCGCCCAAATATAGCATAGAGTTTCTATATGGAAGTGCCGGCGAAGGTGAAGATTCGAGGAACCCCCGGGTGTGAGTTGTTGCGGCATGTTGAGTCGGTAGATCCTCGTGCGGCTGAAGGTCTTCGACGGAAGAAATCCGATGTGCCTTTGGACTTGGATGTGCTGCTGGAAGAAGAGACTCGACGCTCGATTACGGATCCATACCAACGTCTACTCTTTGAGGTGAAAGTGCTGCATCGAAAAGGGAATTTCAAAAGTTCAGAGGGAGAAGAAATAGTTCAACGTGTGCGAGACATCGCCAATGGCGGCAAGAAGGTGCTGGATCTCTCAGGATTTATCCTTTTCGATGACTTCGTAGATCTTTTAGTACCGTATTTGCGATCAAAGACATGCAAACTGGTAGCTCTAAAGCTATCAGGAACACCACTTGGGGGTCAAGCAGCGATTAACATCGCACAGGCCACGAATAAAACCTTACAGACGCTGCACTTCTCCGATAACCCGATTCCAGTCGAGGCAATCCGGCTTCAGGCAACACAAAGTGGACATGTGATTCTCTCTGGACATAACTTTAGCCACTTGGACGCCGCAGCAATTGGAGTATTAGTGGAACGAGAGCGCAAGCAGATTCAGAAATTGGATTTGTCTGGTAACTCACTGACTGGGCCAAAAGCGAACATTTTCCATGGGATTACTTCCATTTTCGAGTGTCTAAAAAAGTGTCGACATCTCCAGGAGCTTCAGTGAGTGTGCTTAGTCACTGCGCATCGTTAAAGTGCACTTACCGCTCTTTTTTTATTTAATGTGTAGTCTCAGTGGTGCAAATCTGAGGTCAGACGGCCTGGTGGCCTTTGCTAATGCCATTCAAGACTTTCCTGCACTGGAGAAGCTCGATCTAAGTCGAAACAGAATGGTGTACAACAGCACCAATGAAAAGCGTTTATCTGGAGTTGAATCGCTGTGCAACGCACTGTGGCGAGTCCACACACTCCGTGAACTCAGGTATGCAGCATGAATTTTCCTTAGTCGTGACTAAATGCTGACGCTTCTCTTGATGTGCTGCTCGTTAGTTTGGTCGGCAACAATTTGGACTATCAGAGCTCAGTTTTTATTGCCGAAATGCTGAAAGTGAACTGCACGATCGTGTCACTAACACTCGCACAAAATCCTCTTAAAGATGCTGGCGCTAGTGATGTATCCACCGCACTCAAGAAAAATGCCACACTATTATCATTAAAGTGGGTTTTCTAGTCCTAGCACTATCATACTGGATGTAAAAGAAGGCTAACCCGTGTTTGATCTTTTCATCATCTTCAGCTTATCGGACTGCCAGATCAGCTGCGAAGGCTTGCAAGAAGTAGCTTCAATGTTACGCAAGTTTAACAGCACACTCCGAACGATCGAGTAAGGTCAATTTTGTAGATCTATCGACTGACAAAGAACTCGAGGACTAACAACGGACGTTGTATTTGTGCCAGTATCACGGATAACCCAGACGTGCGGTCGCAGGGATATCGAAACCTTGTCAAGTGTATATCGACCAACCACACGCTCACTGAGGTTATCGTGAATCCTACTTCAAGATACGAGAGATATGCGAGCAAGACTCAAGAGTTTCTAGCTGTGAATGTGCTGCTCAACGCTGTGCGAACGGTGAGCTCCCTCTTCAATTCGACTTGTCCTTTTATATCTAATGTATTTCTACGTGTTCATTGAATTGTAGAATCCTAAGCGCTTTACTGGATTCCCTGCACTAAACGAGACCCAGCGCACAAACTTTGTCAACAAACTGGAGAGATTTAGTGAAAGTGAGCTCCGACAACTTCGCGAAGAACAGATCGTGGAAAAGGCCGCAATATTCTCGGACGAAAAGGATGCAGCGGGGCTTTCGACACTTCGTCACTACGCCGCAAAGGAGCAGTACGCGCCATTAAAACGGATCTTGTGGTGCTTTGAGGTCGATACTCGCCACCAAAACCTTGTTGAACGGTCCACTAACACAAAAATCACCATCGAGGAAGCAGACGACGAGGATATTTGGGACTACCCACTAGTTTAGGTGTAACCACAAGGAAAACGGTTGCTAACGGACGCCACTACGCGCCGGACACTTCACTTCGCCTTATTCTCTCGTCGTCTCCATACCTCATGGGTACGAGCTGAGGATTTCGTTCTTTAAAAGTTGTAGTTGCTAATTCTGGTTCGTAGATTTAAAACCTGGGCCGGTCACGCGTGTGTGTCATGTCTGTGGTCGTCAGTATGGGTTGTCGTCCTTTGAGATCCACTTGAAGCAGTGCAAGAAACTTTGGGTCCAGCAGGAAGAGCAAAAACCCAAGAATGAGCGTCGACCAATCCCGAAGACTCCTCCTAAACTCGGCCAAGGCGGCGAGGACACTAGCAAAGGAATGAGCCGGCAGGAACTCGAGGCTCTCAACCAAGCTGCACAAGAAGCGTACAACGTCCACGGCATGGAGAAGTGCGATTTCTGCGGACGAACTTTCGCTGAAGGTCGACTCGCCATTCACAACAAGAGTTGTCGAGCTGATAATGTCAGCAAGAAAAGTGCGGACGGCGCAGCTCCGAGGAACAAGAAAGGTGAGTTAGACTACTCACTTAATCCTGTCTTCCTGTACAAATACTCACTGCTCAATACCTTTTCATGTGGTAGAACCTGAGGTGGACTACGGACGCGCACGCCCTGCAAAACAATCTGCAGACAACTCGTCTTCACAGTCGAGTGGTGGCGGTTCAGCCAGAGGTTCAAGTCCGTCCAAGCCGACAACCGCTGCGAGTACTGGAGGAGGGCGTGCGCTAGCTGGGAGTATAGCCAGTAATCGAAACTCTGGATCAGCATCTCGGTCACAGATCCACTCGCCATTGGAACAAAACGTGGATGCGGACTCCCTCAAAGACGAACTACAAGGGAAAGAGAGCATGATCAGTGTTATTCAAGCCAAGTTGGACCGCTGGGAGGCCACAACCGTCGCCACTCTGCAGGAAATCCGCGATCTCAAAGACGTATTCGCCCAGCTTAACGCCTCATAAACACCCCCCACCTTTTTCTAAAACATGTTCTACATAATCTCGGCACTTGTCTTCGCAAGAGGCGATTCCCAGATCTTCATCCGCTTGTCGTACGATACCGTAACCAGCATCGGGGAGCCTGAGGGCGATAGAGGCGTCGGACACACGAGGTCTCGCACCAACGCGTCGTGCGCGTCAAATGACTCCACGACTTGTTCCGAAGCGATGGACCACACAAAGACGGTGCCGTTTTCTTCGTTGTTGGAGATGACGTACTTCTCGGATGGATGCCACACAGCACGCGGCTGACTATAAGGTCCAGCCTTGTGTCCATAGAAGCTCCTCAAGGCCACATTCCGCTTGATCTGCATTATAGTGATGATGAAAAATAAGGTCCCAAGCAAGTATCTAATCAGTGGTAAATTACTTACCGAGAAGATAAAGTTGCGGTTGGAATCCGTGGATGCCAGCAGATATTTGCCACTTGGGGACAGACTCAGGTCCATGATCGTGTAGGACACGTGCTCGATGCCGTCCGGATTCATGTTAATTCTATCACAAACACACCAAAGTCAGAACGCATAGTAGTAGGCTCCTCTCTACTCGCTCTTCTCACCTCTCCTTCTCGAACGTAGAGCAGTCGACGTAGTGCACGTAGCAGTCATCTCTCACTGCAACCACCAGTAGCTCATTGTTCTCTGACTCCGACGGAGTAAACGCTATCGCTTCCACTGTTCCGTTAAAGTAGAACGACTTGAACTTCTCCACCTGTTCACCGTCTCCATTTAACTGCGAGCACTTGTAAATATTCAGCGACTTGTCACTTGATCCTGTAGCAAAGAGCAGTCCATTTGCACTCCACGCAAGCTTGAATGCTCCATGTCGGCTATGATCGTGGAGCTCGCACACCAAGCGCACACTCCACTGCTCTTCGTGGTGTTCTAGTCTATAAAGTGCATGTTTCGCGTCCATCCCTGCAGCTAGAAAGTAGTCTGCTAGCTCACTCTTAGGGTTAAACGCTAGAGCCAGCACTGGAGCGCTGGTCTCCACCACGCAGAGCTTCTGGCCTGATTTCCAGTCGTGTACACACACGCATTTGTCGGCTCCTCCTGTGATGACGATCTCGGGCCTCGTGGCGTGTGCACTGACACTCAACAAGTTCCCAAAGGAGTGAACATTATCCAATGTCACTAGTGGGCGGATTGTCAGCGATGGACCAGGTAGTAGCAGCTCGTCAGGCACCTGGAGAAGACTCGGAGCGTCTTTGGAGGACGTCGGAGGATTCTGCGCCTGCTTCTCGAAGAGTAGACGATTGGCTTCGGCCAGCAGCTCGATCTCGTCCGTCAGATCTTGAATTTTCTTGGTAGTGGTGGCATCTAAGCGGTCGTAGCGCGCCTGCAGCGCTTGTAGCGTCTCCTTTAGCTTCACGTTCTCGGCCTCCAGCTCCATTATTGACTAAACTGAGGGAAAAGATCGCTGTGGAACGACTTTGAGGGGTTTCAGTGGTCAACAGATTGGGATTAAAGGAAGAGACTTGAGATGGCTACATTTTATTCTATCATTTAGCTGTTCGACGTGAGCTTTTAGGCGCCTTGGAGCTTTTCTTGCCCTTTTTGGTTTTCTTCTTCTTCTTCTTAGAGCCGGCCGGTTTCTTCTTGGGTTTAGCTGCTTTCGATCGGTTGAGTGGGTTGTCCAGCAGACGTGAGCCTGGGAAAGGTAAATTGTTGAGGCTTTCGCGAAGAGGGCGGTCTTCAGGGACGAGTAGACCTCGCTCCAGCGCTTCAGACGAGAAGGTCAAGTTGTTCTCTTCGAACAAGCGGCGGATCTTCTCTAGCTCTTCCATCTGAGTATTACGGAGGTCACTTGTAGACGCGGTGAAATGAGCCTCGAGAGAAGTACAACTCGGTGCTGTTCGAGGGAGAATGACACCGTTTCGACTGCTGTTGGGAGTTCGCTTCCCTTTCGCAGACTTTAAGTCACCACGGGGTTTGTTTGGTTTCCGTGATGACGAAACCTCGCGCTCTGCATTCATTATCTGTATAATTCAGAGCAACGACGTTAGAGTTGAAAGCAGCATGAGAGACGAGTGCACTCGGTGTACCTTGTCGGGTGGAAGTGCGAAGACTCGACGCATCGCACTGGCCTCTTGAAGACAACGGAGCTCTGGATCTGCTGGCAGCGATTGAACTGGAATTGTACCTCGAGGATGCGACTGTCGACACTCAAAGGATGGCTCAGTACATAGTCGATGATCACACTACACAAGCAAGCCGTACCTGTTGTAAACCTGAGTTTATCGCAGTCGTGGAATGGTCTGAGCTAGTGTCGTAGTAGTACGGCACGTGGTAACTCTGAAGTTTCATCTGGTGACGACCATCTTCACTTGTTCTCTTCCTTTTCGCTCTCTCATCCGTTGCTGGCTCCTCCTCTTCGTCTTCTTCGCTTGAGCTTGACGAGTCATCCGAAAGCGCAGAAGCTCGTCGCTCCAAGCGACTGAGCGCACGAGAACATTCTTTACTGCTGGAAGGCCTCGTGTTCACATTGTTTGCTGAGATCTCTTGCTTGGATTTAGGCACCGACGACGCTGCGAGTAGTCCAGGAGGCACGTAGTTTGGCGGCAGTTGATTCCGGAAGTGCATACCGCCACCTGACGACGTCGACGTTTTCTTGCCCTTGATGACGATTTGAGCTGGCTGCTTCTTTCTCGTCTGGTCCTGTTTGTGAGTGGAGAAAGCATCTTGTGGCGTCGAATCCTTCGCGTTTTTCGTAGCGAATCTTGTTGAAGATACAGCCGTTGACTGGTTGGCGAGCGCCGCTTTTCCAGCTAAGTCAACGTGTAAATGATAACTTGAGCTTTGTCGCGCGAATGGCTTCTCTTGGTCGACTCCTTCCTGCAGTATATGACCGAGTCCTGCAGCCAACTTGGTCGACTCCCGCTTCCTCAGATTCTCCGACTCGTCTCGACTCCGATCCATTGCCCATTTTTGGACAGCCTGTTGGACTTCTTCGTCCTTTTTGCGCTTCATATCGTCTTCTTGTCGACGTCGTATCCACAACAAATTCATTTCTCGCTAAGAAAACAAGTTAAATTAACCACAACTTTTGACAACATTAACATCCAGAGCCAGCGTACCTCTGCGTCTGTTTCGGGGTGATACATCTTGAATGTGGCTTCGACCATGCGCTTTTCGTCTTCTTTCTTGTGCATCTCGTCGAATCCTTGTCGTCTGCGGTGAGCGCGATTGTTGTCTTCCTCAGCTGGCAAGTTCTACAAGTAGAGAATATAAAAATGTGTCATACACTTGGGAGTTCTCGACGTAGCAATCAGTGTCGTTTGAGCTCACCTTGTCCGACATATCGGCTCCTCTCGATCGTAATTCAGCTATTCGCCGAATATGGGAGGCTCGCAAGTCGGGCATTCTGTATTTCTGCGGCATTCAGTCAGAACTGCTTCTTTGGAATCGTCGCACGCAGATAACATACCTCAAGCTTGGCAGCTACGGGTGTATTTGAGATGGTCGTTCTACCGGGAAGGAAGCTGGATTCACTGGGACATTTATCCAAAGCTGTAGGTGGAGGGAAGCAAGGCTTCTTTGGGGACTATGTGTACCGAAGAACAAGAGTTAAGTCAGAGGAACGGTCGACTTCGAACTATCAATTCACATGATCCATGGTACCATCCGAGGAGGCAAAATCGGTGTCGATGCAGTCGCTGAAACCTGTTCACGCACAGCGGAAACTTAGTTTTGACCTCCGTTTGACTCAAAATACACAGCAGAACTTGCCTCCGTTTCCTCAAACCAGTGAAGCATCTTACTGATGCAAGCTTCCTGGATCGTGGAGACCTAAATGCAATCCCGGCGTTAAAAGAACAGGAAGAGATTACCACATGTCAGGGCCACAAACCTTGATGTCGCTACACTGCTGGAGCATCGTTCGAAGCGCAAGATAGCGCACAGCAGAGCGCTTGTGCTCCTCGTCCCTTTCGTAACCAGTAGGCTCATGCACATGAAGGAATTTGAGCATACGTCCGAAACAGGGTTGCTGCTGCTTCATGACGTAAAAGTTGGCCATAGTTGGAATCTCTTCTTGCATGACTGCCAATGCAGAAGCATCTTGGAGGATTTCTAGTAGATTGCAAGCATTGACATATCAGCAAATTAGCTGCTCGAAAGCTAGGGGCGAGACAATAACCCCACCGGCCACGCTTAATCGTTGAAGTGCTAAAGGCTGAAGGCGTTGAGAGAAAACAGATCTAAAACGATCGAGGTTAGTCTTTGAGAGCCGTGAGCTTGGATAAATACCTCAAAAGCATGCATGCACTTACATGAGCTGTTCTACTCTTTCCGGTGGTGAAATCGAGAGCATAATGGCCTTGTGACAGTAAGTACAGGACTCTTTGACTGCCCCAGCACTGACCGAATTATCACAAGACCTTCAAAATAGCCGATACGTTACAGCGGGATCTCGTCAATATTGAGAGCCGACCAACAGAGGTGCTACCGGCGTAAACTGCATAAAGTAAAAATATAAGTGAGCCGACCATCTAACTCTTCTTCGGACTGCGTCGTTCTCTCTGACCGACTTTTGTTATGGAACGTAGACATCCTACAGTTGCAGATCTTCAATAACCCGTGCGAGGACGACGCAGTGGAGGAAGACGCCCCTCCTCTGCTGATTTTAATGCACTACGCACGCGTTCCCCTTTCGCGATGGATGCTGCAGTTTTGCCACGAAGATTCTTCTGGCGAACAGTCCTAATAATCTCATCAGCGCGTGCCTTGTCTCGTTCGGGCGAATATACCCCTAACAGTGTGAGCACAGCACTGAAATTGTTCTTGCGTGCTGCCCTGAGTCAGCGAGGAAGCTCAGAAGTTAGCGACCAGAGCTCAATTTCGGAACCTGACGCCTCCCCGTACCAATGGAGCGGTGTGTCTCCTGCACTGTCTGTCACGTTGCACAAAAGCCCATGTTCAAGCAGAATTCGAATCTAGCAGCTAATTAACATAAATGCATTGACCTAAAAAACCTTAGAAAGCAGCCACGTACGATATTCGAATGACCTCGTCGAGCTGCATCGTGTAGCAGCGAAAAGCGATTGGACGTGCAATCGACACAGTCAACTTTAGCGCCTTCTCCCAAAAAGAATCTCATCAGGTGCTGCAATGGCCGCAAAAGGTTAGACTACACAGTGTCGGTTATGCCATCGTGCCACGTACCTCGTGACCCCACCAGCATGCAATCTGAATAAGAGTTTCGCCGTGATCGGAGCGAGTTGTCTTCACCACAAAATTGTAGCCAAGTCGACGAGCCTTTTCTCTTTCCTCCGAAAGCAGTACACTCACGACCTCGACAGATAATCCTTCCTTGGTGGCTTCCCATATTGACAGCTTAGAATTGTTGTCTGGGTCAGAATCGCTTGTCGGCGCAATGTGAAGGGTTCCAGGCTCGTTACGTCTCCGCATCTTGTTAATGTTCTCAACGCCAGTAGTCTGCAAGTCTTCATCTCGCTGGTTCAAGCCCTTCTTCCAGCATTCCTGACATTTGATTAGCATTGCTGCATGGTCCTTTCCTTCGTTCTTGTGGCGTCGCTGTATGTGTACTAGGCGTGAGGCAAGTAAGTCCTCTTCAGCCATGTGCGAAATCTCCCTCTTCCTCACTTCAGCAGCTCGGTATCCACGAAGCATCTGTATTTTCTGCACCAAGCTTTCCTCCATCTCACGAACACCAGCGAGAGCAGCAGCAACCAAGGGATGCCAATCCTCGTACCTTTTGCCTGCTGCAGACGTCGCTCCATTGGTGAAATCTGTTGGTCCCATTGCTCGATGGAGAAGAGCGTCAACGTGTTCAAGAAGCTCGCAAACGTCAGTCCCTTGCACGAATTCCAGCAGACGAGAGTCTTTCAACGCACACACTTCGTGCGATTTCCAGTTCGTGAATGCCCGGAAGGCAGCATTTATCCTCGCAACGTCCAGGTCCACAAAGTAGCTGTTCATCAGCAAGATACTGCGCAGGAGTGCTAGACACTCGCTGCGCATCTCACTCAGTGCTTTATGGAAGCGCTCAGCGTGAACAATACGAGCGGCTAGACATTCTGCTAGCAAGATATCCTCTGCTCTGTTTTCCAGCGATACGACGTGGCTCTTGATACTCTCAAAGGACTCTTTCCAGATCCGTTATCAAGCTAGATAAGTGCGGGAACTGTTGTTCTTCCTCCCTGGACACAAGCGCTCGAGCCTCGATCTCTGCTTGGATTTCAACCGACACCTGCTTCAGTTCTCCCAGTTTAAGCTGCATTGTACCCGGGTCTGTAAGTGCACGTAATTTATTTCGCTTGGCTGCGACCTCATTGGCTGCGATTCGCTTCCGAGCTGCACACTGGATGGACAAAGCAGCAAGATCTCGCTTACTGCCTTCCACCCAGGAGGACACATACTCCTCTGGCTTCTCCCACGTGATCGTATTGCTGACAGAGTGTCGGTAGTAATATCTGCCCGATCGAGGGTCAAAGTACTCGCACCATTGCGCTCGAGAGCTCGACTCAGCAGCCAGAGCTGCCAGCTTCTCTTCTGCTGCGGCAACAGCTTCACGTTCTTCTCGTAGCTGTTGCTCTAGTTGCTCCTCTTCTTCCTCTTCATCTGCAAGCTGCTTTACGCGATCTCGATCTTTCTTCGCACGAAATACACTCTGGATCTTGACGGCTCGAGCGCTTCGCTCGTCTTTAAGTCCAGTAAAAAAATCGACGGGTTTCTCCCATTGCGACTCGCCTGTCTCACTGTTGTAGAAATATTTATGCCCTGTGGTGGGATCGAATTGCTCTGTCCACTTCCGCGCCTCTTTGACTCTCATGCGGTCCTTGCGGCCGCGATACAAGCTCTGGATCGTCACAGTGGCGTCGCTGTGCTTAACCTCATCCTGTGGTGGGTCTTCAACAGCCTCCTCTGCTCTCTGTGTGTCCATTCTTAGAGGCTCAGACGTCAGAACTGCCTTGTATGATTTTGGTGCTTCCCATGTGTTCTCCTGCGTGCGCAAATTGAAGTAGTAGAGCTGGTTGTTAGTGTCGTCCCATTTGCGGACCCACAGCGACTCGCCCGACGCGTTTCCAGCGGTGCCAGTTATATCATTCAAATCGACAAGACCCGTAGCATCCGATTCTCGAGATTGCACGTCGGGAACTGCTGTGCTTGAGCTCTCCGACGCCATGATCAGCAGATCGTGCTGACGATTGAGAGCACTTCAACTTTCAAATTATAATAATTATTGTGCTTGGAAATAAAACGGAAAACCAGACCGAACCGGTTAATTAACTTGCCATTTGTAACGCTCACTTGCCTTCAGTAAGAGCGACTGAATAATTGTATCAATCCAAAGCTTTCTTATGATTTGTATGCCTGGGTCCGGGTGGCCAATGAGCCAACCATTCGATGCAAGCTCGTTGCATTTAGCTGCACCTTTCCCCATTCGCATTCGCTTATCACCAAGTCAATATGGTAAGGCCCAACGCTTTTTAGTCATGCGAACTAGAGCAGGAGAGAGAGAGGACAGAACAACAGGACCATACAGGGAACATGGATACAGGACAGAGCTGTTAATAGGAACCTCAGCAGCGACGTTTCTCTCTCTCCCCAGTTCTTGCAGCCTCCCTATGAATTACGGACGTGGGAATTGACAGGCCGTGTGTTATGTGTGCTTGTGCCTGCGTAGCCGTCCCGTTTTTCCAAGAACCGCAAGAAACGCGGACACGTGAGCGCCGGCCACGGTCGTATCGGCAAGCACCGCAAGCACCCGGGTGGTCGCGGTAACGCCGGTGGCCAGCACCACCACCGTATCCTTATGGACAAGTTCCACCCTGGTTACTTCGGTAAGGTCGGTATGCGCCACTTCCACCTGCTCCGTAACCGCACGCACTGCCCCACGGTGAACGTGGAGCGTCTGTGGACTCTGGTGTCGGAGAAGACCAAGGAGCAGGCCGAGAAGGCTAAGGACGGCAAGGCCCCTGTCATTGACGTGACCAAGGCCGGCTACTTCAAGGTGCTCGGCAAGGGCCGCCTTCCGGAGGTGCCCGTCATCGTTAAGGCCAAGTACTTCTCGGCTGAGGCGGAGAAGAAGATCAAGGCTGCTGGTGGCGCCTGCCTTCTGACTGCTTAAGCGGATTAGTAGCTTGACATTGCGGTGGTGCGAAACAATAATGGGAATATACATGTGGAGACATGACTGTCCTCTCATTAACGCGATCGCTGTGGCTCTTTTCTCTATGTTGCTAATACTGTGAGTGAGTTCCAGATTAAGAAAATTGCAGCGCTTACGCTTCTCTCTTCAGTCAGTAGCTGTTCTAGCTCAGGTTGCAGGTTCTCCATGTACAGAGTCGAGCTGAACTTTATCCCCATGCCGTCGTGCACGCATGTGATGCGACAGATGAAGCTTTCGTGGCGAGTGGAGAAACTCAGCACCTCTCGAACGTTAATGGGTGCACAATCTTCCAGCAGTCTCTCTCGAGCGTCCATCACACGCGCTCCTTCTCGATACACGATGTCGTAGCAGCGCTGGCCCCGTGAGAGCACATTTTCCAGCGACTGCATTGCAGTCTCCGCGTCATCGTTCCCATCTGCTACGGATACAATACGATGCGTCTTTGCGTCCTCCGCGGCCAACAGCTTTAGCTGGAGATGCCATCGTCGAAGCGGGGTCAAATTCGCCAGCTTTAGCTGCTCGCGTAAAAACCCTGAGCACAGCACCCACAGCAGCATTAGACTGCAGTACCGGTATCATCACAATAAGTGACAACGCCGCAGTTGTTTCGTACCAGGTCGAGCAGTGATGGCCTCAATATCTGACAGAGTCGTCGGTGGCATTAGTGTCCGGTTCGACTGACCGCCCTTCCGCTCATTGCGACGTGCGCGACGTTCGTTAAGCTGCTGCTGGCGTCGACCCTCGAGAATCGCGTGCTCCCGCTGCTGCAGCTCGCACGCATTTGCCACCATGTTCATGTTAAAGTGTGAAGCTTACTTCTAATTTTCAACCAATCAAACGGCAATTTTATCCAGTGGACAATCATGCTGCGCTCTGCGGCGCTAAGCTCTTCGCTAGGCGCTGTTCAACCATTTTGGCAGCATCTATTGCTCATACAACTCTTTCTAACGCTATCCGTGGGCGTCCATTATCGTCATCGACTTCCCATTCAAGTGCCAAGGTCGGCTTCGCATCAGAAGCAATAAATGTTACAATTTCTCACAATAATTGTTACGCTTCTGTGAAGGATTCTATCGTGGGCTGCGCGTACTTGCGCTCCGTAGCAAGCGACGTATCTGCTCTACAGGTGAATGTATTAGCAACAAGCGTTGTTGGAAGTATGTGTACTTACTTTATTGCCGTGGACTTGCAGAACCTGTTCCAGTCTCTGGCAAGCGACTCGGATGTTGCACACAACTTGGAGCGATGCGTCTCGCGTGTTCTGCAGTGTCACGACCAGCAAAGACGCGTGTTCGTCACGGGAATGGGCAAGTCGGGGGCCGTCGCACAGCGTCTGGCATCCACGTTGTCCTCCATTTCCATAAGCAGTCAGGTATCAATTGTCTTTTCATTGTTACTAGGTGGGAATACGCTGCTGACTTCTCACTGTGATGCAGTGGATCCATGGAGGAGAATGGGTGCATGGAGAACTTGGCGGCCTGAAACACGGAGACGTGGTACGTACGAGTTCGTACTCTGCCCAGATGTCTCTGGGTGCGGCTTGCTTACATGGTTAAGAACGGTCATTCTAGGTCATCATCGTATCACATAGCGGACAAACATCGGAGCTGCTTCCGCTACCTGTCTTGTTTCGGAAATCTGGGTGCAGTGTGATGGCCATCGTCGGAGATAGCTGCTCGCCGCTGGGCACAGGGTGTGATTTGGTGTGTTTTCCGTTTCACTGAGATGGTAGCTAGGTGCGCGAAGTAACATCTTATGTGTTTTGTGTCTTTGGTAGTCCATTGCTGCGCCAGCAGAAGATGAGGTTGACTGTCCGGTTCCATCCAGAAGTATCATCGTTCAGGTATTTGCTTGGATGCGGGTTATTTGTTGGTCTCCTAGTGCGACTGATTCTTTTCATGTTTGGTTTTGTTCATGAACAACTAGGAGGCGATTTGCAACGCAATAGTCCAGCAATTGGTCGAGAACATGGCCGATGGCGCAGACCACTTGAGAGAAAGCCATCCTGGTGGCGCTATTGGCGCTAGATTTGCGAATTGAACGGATCATTTACAACTCAACAATTGCGTTTTGCGGACAGCTAAATATGGAATAGTCTCTTGCATGTAGGTCTGGCTGCCTCCTACGTTTACGCACTTCTGTTCCTGTCGCCGAGTGGTATGGCAGCTCCAACACGCGTTGCAAATGGTGACCAGGGCCCCAACATTCCCCATCTACTGCTTCCGAATGAAAACTATCGCGTTGTGAGAGGCAATGACCCTTTACTGGGAAATCACTCTCCTCGTCAGCGCCGGATTATTGCAGCACAACCCATCCGTCCGCAAGCTGGAGGAAAGTCGCCTGACTCAGTGCTGTCTCCACGACAGAAAACACCCGCCAGTCCTATGAAAACTGCATCTGCAGGCTCTCGCCCGATAGTAACGCCCCCACTTCAATGCAAAAGCGCAAGAGCTCGACTTGCAACTCCTGACGACAATATGAATGGGACATTATGTGCGCGTCCAGCAACTTCCCCGGTGCTACGCGACAGACTGGCTAATGACTCGTCACCAGTGAAGGATGCAGAGCCGCAGTTCTTATTCCCGATCAACCCCCGCGCACGGGAGCATGTTGAAATTAAAGCGTGCTTACTGGCCTATACTCATCACTTGGACGTGGAAGTGCTGCATCGAATCCGAGGCAACAACCAGTTGGCGTTGAACCGATATAAAATGCAACGCATCATCTCAGACGGCGCCGCCGTAAGTGTCGACGGCAGCAGGCACGAGGACACCAAACGAAAGACAAGCTTTCTATTACGCCACTTTTTCGCGCAACAGGATCCGTACGTACCACGTTTAGTAGCAATGAAAATTACTTTGGCTGTCGACTGACGAGTGTAGTGGTGTATCTGCAGATCTTCATCTTCGCAGGACCAGCTCCTACATGACGTGGTCAATGACTGGGCGATTGGAGATCAAGCAACGTCCGACGAGATCTCGCGCCTCTGGAAATCCATCAATGAGCATATTGAGCAGTCATGTACGTCTCGTTATCAGCTCTCAACATTGTCCTCTTCTAACAGATGACGACTTTCTACTGTAGACCTACTGCGTCGCAAGCTCGTATCAAAGTCCGATCCCGACGAGATATCGGTGGTGATCGCTATGGATTGTCTGAAGAAGCTCCCCGATCGACTGCCCGAGTATCGACGCGTGTTAGATGTCATCATTACTGTGATAGAGTCCGGACTTTACGTGACAACTTCTGCTGACGGAGCACCACCGGCAAATGCAGACCCTGCTCACGACGATAACGAGTTCTTTCGTGAACGCAGGCTCCTCTATTTTGAAGCTTTTAGAGCTTTACAGATTCTGGCAAATTCAGAACAAGCACCTCAACCGTCAACAACAGGTCGCACATCTCTGCACTACCGGCAAGACAAGAGTAACGACATGTCATTGCAACCGCGTATCGAGGCTCTCTTCAATCAGCTGGATAATGACGACGACAGGAAAGAGCTTTTTGCGCTGTTGCTCCGTGGTAACCGGTTGACGCTGGTAGGCGTGGCATGCGAAGAGGTTTTGAACCATTATTTCGGCACGGAAACCCCTGGAAGTTTAAGCGAGTTTCTCTCGTTTCTGATGGAAAAGATCAGTCCAGCAGACACCTTCCGCTTGTTGAAAGAGATCTCACAGTCACATCTGGCCGAGCTACAGAAGTTTACCCTTGATAACATGGACACTTTACTAGCAGGATCCCCTAGTGACAACAATCCCACTCTATTCCAGCGACTTGTCGATCGTCACCCTCAAGAATTCGCTGCCATCTTATGGCAATCACCGTATCTCACAGCGCACATCTTCCAGGTGAGTAACGTGTAGTGATGAAAGCCTTGAGTGTCAACTCACAAACAATGTCTTCTTCTCCACGCAAGGGCTCTGAAAACCTGGTAGTGCGTGTTTTGGAGCAAAATTTGTATCGCATTTCGCAAGTTCTCACCCAGCGAGGCGATGTCCTCCTACCACTGCTGAACCATATATTCAAGGAGAACACCGTACGTCTTGCGTCTGTACTTACTGCGAGCGTCACTCTCTGATTGCTCGTCTATCTCGAATGATCTTTAGACAGCCCTCGAGGAATTTTTGGTCAACCATCCTCGCGGACTTGCCGACCTCCTCATGAATCGCTCTTCCGCTATCGCTGCCGTTATAAAAGCCAAACCATACATTCTCTCAGGTTCGTAGCACAGAAGTCGAAGTGGTTTGTCTGTCGTCGTAACAACCGGATTCTCGTAGATTTACTCCAAGCATGTCACTCGACGTTGACGAAAGTCCTCGCTTCTTCGCCGGAGATCGTCAGCTCAGCGATCAAAACGAACCCACAGACTCTGCCTCAAATTGTCCGGGAGGACTCAAATGTTCTGGCTGCCGTGTTTGCAACAGTGCCGCAGTGCCTCGGCGATACGCTGGAGAAGCATCCGGACTTCTTCGTCGACCTTGCTCATCGTAAACCTGCGCTAGTATCCCGATTATTCGCAGAGCATCCAGACCTGTTGCTTGTACGTCAAAGCCCCCTTGACACGGATAGGAAGCACTTCACTAACTGTCTGGATTCCACGGATACAGGAACCTCTGGAGACAAACCCGGCACTTTTCACGACTTTCCTAGTGTATCATCGCAGTATTTTGCCAGATTTCAATGACCCAGACTTCGACCCCACTGTCTTCAAGTTAAAAAGGACGAAAAAGATCGAGATCGGTGTACAAACCAGCAAGAATCTCAACCAAGGGCGACGCAAGCTCAGAGCTCGTGAAAAACTTCGTAGAGAGTGTGAGGAGCTTCTGGAGCCACTCCGAGCGATAGCAGCGAAAGAAGTCACTGTCACTGCAACGAATACACAAACCATTGAAGCAAAATCCGAAGACGAGCTTCTAAATGAAGAAGCATCATCGACTGCTGAAATCATGAATGAAATTGCTCGACTGTACTTAGCCAAGATTGCAGCGGATGAGCACGACGACGCGATGAACCGCAAGCGACAATCCTTCGCCGACTCTGTGATGGAGCTGTACACTCTCGAGCTGGGGTTCAAGCCCCTGGCGAAGAGAAAACTCGTGAATTTGTTGATTATTGCCAAACGGATTGGCAACGTGCCGGAAGCGATGCGCATCAAGTGGTTCGGGAGATTCTTAAACGCTATCCCAGGCGAGCGACCGCTGCCTCAAACCGCGTTAGATTTCTTCCTTCTTGCTCTCCAGCATCTCATCCCAGGAGGACAACTTTCGCTGCAGTTGGAAGCTGCGTCCTTGAATTCGTGCACTGTGTCCCAGTCTACACTGAAGACACTGGTGGACGATCCCTTGGTTAGTCGGTTGTTTGATAGCAAGGAGCAGTGTGAGCGCATGCTTTCTTTCCAGAGTATTTCGACGCCTTCGCGTCGGGACATTATGGGTCCAGCGACACGCTCTTCGATCACGATGTTGTCGGCGCTTCCTCTCGACGACGTGTTGGACTCGATCATGAAAGTCTGGATGCAATATCAACTAAGGTGAGTCATCTTACTTCGCCCTACTTCTTTCTAAGACTGACTAACGCTGTGCTGAAGAGTGCGAGAAGAATGGTCGGTGCTGTTCAAGGAGATCGTCTCAGCCACTGGTGTTGTGCATTTTGATGGTACTAGTATGTTGGCCGAAGCAGCTTTGCTTATTGCATTCACTGATCTTTTTTTTGATACTCCTCGACAGCTTTTTCGACTATGGTGCGATCCAAACTTCCAGACCTTGATAGCCGAGCTCTCATGAAGATCTTCAATACCAGTGGCGAAGAAAACGAACATGGAGACTTTACATTATTCTCGGTACGAAGCTGCATGCTCCTTACGTCTTCAATGTAGCGAAAAGCAGAATGAGTACTGACTGTTCTGCCCACGACTTTTGCCAATCCCCCAGGAGGACTTCACGTTCACGATGTCGATCTTGCAAGAACAGCACGTCTTGCACCAGTACACATCGTCGTCGTCGTCTACTGCTTCGTCAACACAACTGTGATCCGTTTTGGCAGTGCCGCCAGTATCCGGCACAGTAGAAGTCACGGCATTTATTGGTGAGCAACAGCTGCAGCCCCCCCCATTTTTGCTTTTTATGATCAGCGTTGTGGCTGTATGATGGAATACATTTGCGTTCTTCTTGCGCGCAGTCCACTATCTTTTTACTCTGGGATGCACGGGGAACAGCTGCACTTGTCGGTTCTCCTGCAAGGCCATTGCCACTTCATAAGCCGAGGGTCGCTGTTTCGGGTCCACATGCAGTAATTGCTGGATAACGGCACCGATCAGTGGCGGGATGGAGATGAAATTCAAGCATAAATGACACGTTTTGGGACTGCAAGTCGCGTCAATATGGCTAAACACCTCTCTTCGCCAGTTCGTATTGGACAGCAAATACGTCGGTCCACCACGGAAGCCCCACACAACGCACTGTACCAACTAGTCGCACCAACAACCACAACACAGTCAGGTCAAGCTTAAAAACTACACACAATAAACACCAAAACAACTTACAATCACCCCTGCAGCCCACATATCTGCCGCTGCGCCATTAAATCCTGGTCTGGGCGGCGCCATCCTCTGATGCGACCTCACTTCTGGTGCCACAAACAGCGGCTTACACTTGATGCTAACAAACCCTTCACCCACGAAGCCTCTATTGTCCATGATCTGACTGCTGCCCAGATCAATGATCCTCGGACTCGTCCGTACATCGACTGCCACATTGTACACGTCTAGATCCAAATGTGCCACATTCTGCGCGTGTAGATACGTCAACGCCCGTATAATTCCCTTGAAGATGCCAATACCCTCGCGCATCCACTCGTGCCCAGAGCCTCGATACACATAGGAGATACACTCCAGCTTGGTCGGAGCCGTTCCGTGCTCCTGTGCGAACTCTTGCAAGTGTCTGAACATTAATTGATGCACCTGTCGATGCGCGTAGGCCTGCAAGCTACCATTGGCCACGTACTCCGTGGCTACATATTGGTTGTACACATCGCTGGCGTATTCCCAGCGGATCATGTGCTCGTTGGCCAATGGAGCGTCGAGACCGCCCATCTGGAGCTGCCCCATGACGCGGATCTCGCTCTCCACATCGTCTCGCTGCAACAGAACTTGAGCCCGATCCATGATCTTGAGCGCCACGGGGATCTGTAAAGCAGCGGCCTGGTCGATCCTAAAGTATACACCTGCGAGCACCACACCACATCGACTAACGGCCAACTGCCGCTCTCTTCGACGCAAAGCTATTACTCCTAGCTTGGAGTCCCAGACCAGGTAGATGCTGGGCACGTGCATGGAGAATGGACGGCTGTGACTGGACACAGCCGGGTGGTTTATGGTCTCGTAAGGAGGATGGTCTCCATACTTTGGATACTGCGTCGTCACAAACCACACGTCCATCGAGGAAGGTTTTCTTGTAGCTCCTTGGAGCTTGTGATACACTTCGAGCAATGGGATGTTGCACAAATTGGAACGACATTCACGTATGACAAACATTTTATAGGAGACTACAAATATCAAGGTAAAAAGAGAATGTTACGCCAATGCTCGCTACAATCATTTGCGAGATGGCTACGGTGTGTGTCAATGCCGTGGATGGCGGTGCCGGGGTAACGAGGGACGAGCGTTGCATCCTCTACACGTCTACAGTGCACTGTACCCATAGGTACGTGCGAGTTTCCAGTGGGTCGCGTCATGCAACCGCCCAGATCCGACGCCACGAGGGCGAATCAGTGGCGTCATTTGGTCTGCTGGAGGCTCTAGAGCTGTCGGAGGATCAAAATACAATGCTGCAAGTGGAATATGCAGCGGACGATGGCGCGGACACTGGAGTAGCCAAGTGCAAATGCAGATGTGGTGTGGTTGCAAGTGTTCGTGTGGTTTTTCTAGAGCGGAAGAGACCTCCCAGTGCAGTGCTTCGTGGGTTGGAACGTATTGCCAGTAGACTGTTGGACGGTGCCATTGTATGGAGTGAGAAGCGGTCGTCTGTGAGCTGGTTGAACCGCAGAGAAGGTGTTAAGTTTGTAGATATAGAGATCGAAACTTTGGGGTCTGGATGTTGCAAGCAGCTTGGAACAGTTTCTAGTGCGTCGAGAGTGGAGCTGAGTTTCAATGGTGATGAAAGACCTGACACTGCAGCATTTAGACCGGTGGATTTGTACGTGAAGCAGATCACAGGCGAGCTTGGAGGCGTGGGGAAGTACGCGAGGAGGTTATTGCAACTGATGTTACTGCGTCTTGATATTGAGCAAAGAGAGAATGGGACGGTGAAGCCGAGTGTGGGGGCTCTGGTTAGTGGACTCCCTGGTATCGGCAAGACAGCGCTAGCGAATGCAATTTGTAAAAGTCTTGGGGTAAAAACGATTTTTCTGAATGCAGCGGATATTTTCCAGACGTACGTGGGTCAGTCGGAGAAGCAGCTCGTCAAAATCTTTGAAAGTGCGGCGCTGCAAGCGCCTAGTATTTTGCTGATCGACGGGATAGAAGCAATCGCTGGCAATCGACGTGCCCTTGCTGATTCACAAAGTGCACTTGAGATCGGTGTACTAGGCGCGTTGCTGTCATCTCTAGAGAAGCTTAAAGCATCGTCGCACCAGGTATTCGTGCTGAGTACCACAAACCGTCCCGGAGATGTGGATGCCGCAGTACTCTCGAACGGAAGACTGGACCAAGTTGTAAACATTGAGCCTCCAACACAAGCAGGACGCCTTGAAATTCTCCGGATCATGACGAAAACATGGCAACTCGACGAACCTGACAATGAATTCCTGAGCCAATTAAGTGAAAGTACGGGTGGATTTGTGGGAGCAGACCTTTTGAGTCTTTGCCAGAAGACTCTTCAAGTTTGTCTGAATGAGTCGTCAGCAACAGAGATGGAAGGAAACGCAGTGGTCTGTCCACGACACTTTGAGCAGGCGCTTGCTGTGACCTACCCGTCCGTTCTCCAGACACATCACGTCTCGCAAAAGCAGCAACAACCGACGTTCACATCCATTCAAAAGCACAGCGGGACAGCTTTCTCGGGTGTATTTGGCATGGATGACGCTATCCAAACTCTTCGCGTCTCCTTGATAGAGCCGCTTGAAGACTGTAGCCGATTCTTACAATTTGGAACAACTCCGCCGAAAGGTGTGCTATTGACGGGTCCTCCAGGATCTGGTAAAACGCATCTTGCCAATGCAATTGCTGAAGAAGTTCGCCGTCGTGGACTCGCGTCGTTCGTGTCGGTGCAGTGCAGTGATTTGTTGACGAAGGTCGTCGGTGACACTGAGAAAGCGCTTCGTGAACTCTTCGCTACCGCTAGAAACGCAGCTCCATGTGTGTTGTACTTTGATCAAATTGAGAGTATTGCACCGCTGCGAGGCTTTGACACGAGTACGGAGCAGACTTTTGATCGAATGCTAAGCATGCTGCTTGTTGAAATGGATGGCTTCAGCACGAGTCGGACTAGACTACAGCGAAGTCTGGCAAGCGACGAAGCGCGCATGGCTTTTCTCAAAGAGCATGTGGTGATTTTGGCCTCTACTACGAACAAGGAGCTCTTGGATCCAGCCATCCTTCGACCCGGGTAAGAGGTTTTGTTTGTTTGTCAGTTCCAAGAGTGCCTAACTAAGTTGTGCGGTGCTGGCAGACGTTTTGATGTCCACATTCACGTCGACTTCCCGAACGAAGATGCGAGGTGTGCAATTATCGCTCAAGCGTTGGAGAAGGTCCCTGTAGATTACTCTACCGACCCAATTCTCAGTTCTCGTGACGTTCTTGCCAGGCATATGGCCAAACACACCAGTGGTTTGTCTGCTGGAGACGTGAGCGCCGTTCTTCGCGAAGCTGCCATGGCGTCCATGCGCGATAACTTGGAAGCCACGAGTGTGGCTATCAAGCACGTACAGCAGGCCCTGAATGAAGCTACTTCTTCGCCGTCAACGGCTGCACCGACATCATCGACGCCGACGCTACTGTTTGGACGCAGACATGATAGTGATAGGAAAGGTAACTCCAAACGTCCAGGTGCTCCTCGAGCTTCAGTTCGTAGCAGTCAATCAAGACAGCAGAAAGCAGATGCTCGGCGCTTCGGTGCGTAACAGAGTAGACGGGGCGAACTGTAGAGGCATGAAAGGCCACTTATCGTACGTCCAAAAATAAAAAAATGTACGCTGTGTGAGTTCTACACTTTTTTCTCGAAGCACGTTTTTACGTAACAATTGTGTGGTACCTCAAGTTGAGTCGAATGAGAGGCGAGCACCGGCGACCGACTCCGCATCTAGGCGCGTTTATTCACGATAGGAACCGATACAAAGACAACCCCCCAGATTTCTATGCGCTGGGGCAGCAATATCCAGAGTTCAAGCAGTAGTAAGTAATCCAGCAGATACATTCGAGGTATTCAGCTGAGAGTGACTGTGCTGTCTACAGTCTGCGCAACGTAGACGATGACAAATGCCGAGCATGTCTAGCATGGGACGATCCTTTTGCCGCCAGGTACTTAAAAGGACGCATTTATTTGGCAGCATGCGTTAAATCACTGCACTACTACGTGTTGACCAGGGAGCTGACAAAGACGTTGTTGCTGCACGACTTTGGGCTGCATTGGGATATCCCCATTAATCGTCTCTGTCCTCCAGTACGTGTACACGTAGCTTTGTCAGTATCAAATACCGAGGCCTCAGCTCACATTTCCTTTTGTTAGCTGCCAAACCGCTTGAATTATCTCCACTGGATCGAAGATCTACTCATTCAACTGACCCGTAAAGGACTACAGCAAACTGATCAAAACCTAACCGAAACGGTTGTATCTGGTATTGACGTCGGGACGGGTGCCAACTGCATTTACGCGTTGCTGGGTGCAACGATGAACAAGTGGAAGTTTATCGCAACCGAGATAGACTCTGATTCCTACCAATGCGCGAAAAAAAATGTGGCTCGGAATCAACTGGAGCCGCTGATCTCTGTCAAGCGGACGCACACAAACAAGTTGCTACTGGAACCATTGAAGGACGAGCTACCGGAGCGGAAGTTTGACTTTGTCATGTGTAATCCTCCCTTCTTCGACAATATGAACGAAGCGGACACAAATCCAGATTCGAGCTGTATGGGCAGCACTAACGAGATGGTGTTCCCCGGTGGAGAAGTTGCGTTTATAGGAAGTATGATCACAGAAAGTGAGCTGCTGCGGGACCGTATAGTGTGGTTTACCTCGATGGTTGGTAAGAAGTCGAGTCTGCGCAAGCTTCTTGCCTTGCTCCGTGGGACGCAGGTGAAAAGTACTCGAACGACAGAATTTTTGCAGGGACGAACAAAGCGATGGGGAATCGCGTGGACATTTTCGAGTGATGTGATCGATGACCCCTCTGTACGTTGTCGTTGTGTTGCAAGATGTCGTACTTTGCTGATGAATTGCTTCGACTTACAGGCAAAAGTACTGGGCAAGCGGAAAGAAGCGCACCGAAGACAGGAACTCAGGTTCCAGGTGCCAATGAATCGTGAAGAAGGTTAGTTTTGTATGTTATCGATTCCGTAATATTTTGTTATAATCTATACTTTGCGGGGCAGCAAATGGTTGTGCTTCTATACACGACGTTCTTCAAAGAATTCGAGAATTTATCGGAACCAAGGAGGAGCTTCAGCTATCGATGGATACCATGAAGCAGCAGGAGGATCAGAAAGAAGATGAAGACGAAACGGACGAAGGACAGGACTGGCTGATGTGTCGACTGGAGCAGCACAAATCAATTAGTACAATATCCGACTCAAGTGAAGTGCGCTGTGCGGGCCGAGTGGAAATCTTCGTATCGGATGACAGTGAGGGCTTCGAGGTCTTGATAGTTTTTGAAGAAGGAGATCGTGCTTCATTTTGGGCAATGGTCGATATGCTACAAGCTGCCACCGTTCGCACAGGTCGGCAATGGCGCAGAAAGCTCCAACGACAGCAGCAGGGGCAGCAAGAACTATGATACTGCAGATGAAAGAGCTCTGTATTTACATGGCGAGACCTGTGCTTGAGAACAGCACAATTGGTACCACACTCGCTGGATTTAACGTAGCTCAGCTCTGCAATTCTGCAAGTTACTCTACAGTTGTCTTACTCGACTGCAACGCAACCAGTACGTCCCCTATGTCGGTGACTGTGTTCCGTATCATGCCCCTCTTGGCTTCATCCGGCCGCATCCAATACAACGTTTCAATGTATTCGTGCAGTGCCGACTTGACGCGATTCTCCTCCAAATGCAACGCAGCAAGATTCTGACACGCATAGTGCCTCACGTCATTGCGAGGTGCTGTCTTCGCTTTCTGAAACAACTCCAGCGCCTCATCTTTCTTGCCTTCCTCGACTCGAATTAGTCCCAGATCATTGAACGGGTTACCAAATGATGAATCCACTTGAATAGCACGTTGGCACTCACTCACGGCTCGCTCTACGTCACCTTCCAAGTACAAATGCCAGCCCAGATACGCGTGCGCGTCTGCCGTCTCGAAAAGCTTAATAGACTCCACGTAGTAGGCCTTCGCAAGCCTCGTCTTGTCCGTCATGTCAAGATCCTCGCTCGTGAGAAGTTGTGACGCGCTATGGATGAGCTCCAGCGCCCCATTGAGCGCCTTGGCGTCCTCCTCCGAAAGCTGCCGCTTCTCCCAGTCGTACTTCTCGTCGAACGTCGTGGGATGCGGCACTTCGGCAAATTTAAGCAGCTGTTGGCCCTCCTCGTCACGATATAGTAGATGTACACGCTGTGAGATCGTCTTATGGAGCTGCAGCGCCTCGTCCAGCGCATCACTCAGCTCGTGCTTAGGTCGAGCCTCTCGGAACTCGATGCGTAGGGCCTCGACGCAGGAGGAGCTGGAGGTAAAGAAATCACGCCATTTAGCCCCTTTGCGCCATTCCACCTCGCGTGGCAGCACAGCCTTGAAAGCCTCGTGACAATCGAGCACCTTGGCGCTACGCAGGAGCGAGCGGTACAGCGCCACAACAAGCTTCGAGGATGGCATTTGATACGCTGCTTGAAGTGGAAGTGATCAATCAAATTTAGTCAAATTTTAATAATAGTCCAGCTCTAACGCATTTTGTGATTTGCTTAAAGTGACGTGGTGCACTTAACTGCAACATTTTGAGCGCGGAATTCGAAGAGTGTTGGTTGTCGCCATGGTGAAGCTTGAGATCTGCGGCATCCCCGTGGAGTTCCCGTTTCCGCCCTATGACTCGCAGCTGATTTACATGGAGAAAGTGCTGCTGGCACTCACCTCCAAGCAGAATGCCATCCTTGAGAGCCCGACTGGCACCGGCAAGGTCCTCCACCACCAGTAGCTCAAGAACGGAATATCACCTATTAACAATTATTTTATTGCATTATATTTTCTGCAGACGCTATGTCTACTGTGTGCAACACTGGCCTGGCGTCGCGAGCTACAGAAAAAGTTAGGAACTAACACATTGGCACCGGCGAAGCGTCCAGGCCCATCGCTAGCCTACGAGGGCTACGGCAGCGATGGAGAGAGCGATGCGCCGCAGTTGCCAAGGATTATTTACTCGTCCAGGACCCACTCGCAGCTGAAACAGGTAGTTCAGGAACTCAAAAACACGTCCTACCGCCCCAACGTCGCAGTGCTCGGATCTCGAGAACATCTTTGTGTGAACGAAAAGGTGTCCAAGCTCCGAGGCACGAGGCAGAACCTCGCGTGTCGATCTACATGCAAAGACAGGAGGTAGATGGCTGTCTTTGGTGCACTGTGGAAGGGATGGATGCTAATGTGCTGCATTTATTGTAGGTGCATGCACAAGTTGGGCTTTGATTCGTACGCAAAGCGGTCGAAAAAACAGGCACAGCCGATCATGGATATTGAAGAGCTCGTGACGACGATGAAGGAAAAGATTGTAGGTGTTTTGTGGGTATTGAGATGTTCATCAGTTTAGAGCTTAGCTGACAGCTGGATTCGACGATGTGTGGTGCAGATTTGTCCTTTCTTCTTGACTAGGAACATGCTACCTGAAGCAGAAATCGTATTTGTGCCATACAACTACCTCATCGACCCCATGGCACGACGGTCAATCGGCATCTCCATCGAGAACTCGATTTTAATATTTGATGAGGCGCACAATGTGGTACGAAAGTGATGGCAGCTCTTGTGTTATTGGCACATTGTAGTTCAAGTCGCTCGTATGCGGAATCTGTAGGAATCGATCGCCAGCGAGGCTGCGTCGTACGCTCTTTCATCGAACGACATCTCTGGCTGCATTTCAGAAGTTGACACGTTCATTAGAGGATTATCTACTAACAGCATTCAGCTGAACGCGGGAAGTAATTTGACTTTGGAGGTACGCATACTGTGTGGGGTTGCATATCCAGCATATAATTGCTGACATTGAGCTTATCTAGTCATCCCAAACGTTGCGAGCTCTGTTCATGGAAATTGAGAAAGGACTCAGCAGTTTCCCGTTGTCTACGAATGGAGGTTTTACCAAGGTATGTGGATTGCAACAAATGACCAAGTGTGGATTCACAGGTTGCTTACACTTTTTTTTATTCTAGCCTGGACAGTATATTTTCGAGTTCTTCGAGCAGTTCAACGTGAACTTTGAGACGTGCCCACTCGTCCTGAGCATGATTGAAGAAATTATTGAAGTGGCGCACGGTGGAGACGATTCACAACGAGCTGCATCGAAGCTCGATACAATGCTTTCGTTCTTGGGTACCATCTTCCGGAGTAAGGAGCAGCACCTACAGGTATGTTTCCTGCTTGATTTTTTTTTCAGCAAAAGTTTATTTGCGGCTTACAAGTCTTGCTCTGTTGTAGGCAGCGAAGAACTATAGAGTTCACATTCAAGAGATTCGAGAAAGGTATGCAGCGAGCCTAATTGGGAAAAAAATAAATGAGGAGAGCCTACTAACCTCGAAGTTTTGCGTAGACCTTCAAATTCTGGGCGGCTGTTCAATTCTGGACGAAAAAACAAGACGACAACAACCCGCGTATTCAACTACTGGTGCTTCCACCCTGGAGTGGCTTTTCGTGAAATCTGCACAAACAATGTCCACAATGTCATTTTAACCAGGTTAGTATTGCCGTTATGCTCGTGCTGTCAGCTGACCATTGCGCTGACTGCGTGTTGTATCCTTATTATAGTGGAACACTTTCTCCGCTGGATACGACTGTCAAAGAACTTGGCATTGACTTCCCGGTCCGGTTAGAGAACAACCACGTGGTCGATGCTGACCAAGTGTGGGTTGGTGTGGTGGGCACGGGCGTCACAGGCAAGAAACTGAATTCCAGCTACAATTTCCGCTCGACAGAAACGTACCTGCTGGAGCTGGGCAACACCATTGTGAATTTTACCCGCCTGGTCCCGCACGGCCTGCTGGTCTTTTTCCCTTCTTACTCCATTTTGGAAGAGAGTATCGACAAGTGGCAACGGCCTGCAACGGGCCAGTCAGCTTTATCCATTTGGGACCGTATTGTTCAGCAAAAGCAAACGTTTGTGGAGCCTAGAGGACGAGCGGATTTTAAAGCGGTGGTTGACGAATATCACCAAGCTATCGCAGACAATCCCAAGGGCGCAGTTTTCTTTGCAGTGTGTCGAGGAAAGGTACCAACGCCAAATGAAGCGTGAATTTCGGTCTGTCGATCTTACAACACTGATGTTGTTCGATGAACTTAGGTGAGTGAAGGCATTGACTTTTCCAATGATAAAGGCCGTGCGGTGATCATCACCGGTTTGCCTTTTCCGCCGACGAAAGACCCGAAGATTATGCTGAAAAAGAGCATTTTGGACGAAGCCGTCGTGTCTCCGGGTGAACTGGTAAGGTGGCATGGATATGGAGATTTAGGGCTATCACTAATGCATTTGTCCCTGTGTTGTCATAAGAAATTGACAGGAAACGCGTGGTACATTCAACAAGCATCCAGAGCAGTGAACCAAGCTATCGGTCGAGTCATTCGACACCGTCACGACTACGGAGCAATCATTCTGCTAGACGAGAGATTTGCCTTGAAACAGCAACAGGAGTGCTTATCAAAGTGGTTGCAGCCTTACTGCCACACGTGCCGTGGATATGGTGAGTGTCTGTAACACTCTCTTCAGTTATGAGGAGCTGACGAAGCTTAAAATGTTTTGTAGGTGAAGCGCATATCGGCTTGACCCGCTTCTTCAAAACCAACAAGACGAGAGCGGTACCAGAATCATCGAAGAAGATTCTGCAGCAGCCGAAACCCATTGGCTTATCCAAAAGAGCAATGTCAAAATCATCCAAGATATCGTCGGACAACGAAAGTGAGCAAATCAGCCAGCAGCTAAGTTCGTCGCAGCTCTCAAGACAAAGCTCGCAAACAGCGATCGGAGATGGCCAGACCTATGTAAACCCCCTGCTTCTTCGGCATCCACCCGACTCGACTGACATCACTGGTATATCTGCTTTGATTTTTCTAGCGTGTGAACGTTGGATGGCGACTGATATTATTCTGCTTTGACTTTTCTTGTCTCAAAATTAGAAATTGAGCAGCGCGTTCTGCCAGCTGCTTCAATGCCAAGGCCAGCTGCGCCTCTAAAACGTTCACTAGGGTCTTTATTGATGTCCACATCGAAGTCAGCTATGGTGGACGTGACGTCTTCGATTGCACGGCCGTTTACGGCACCCAAGATGATGAATAGCGTCGGCTCTGCTGATGGCGCTATTGTTGTTAGTAACGGCGATGCGCGATCGTGGCAAAGTGCGAAGCAGCAGTTTGCAGCTAAACACGAGAGCGGAAATGACGACAACGACAAGACGTCTGCAGCCGAGTTTCCTGCTGTGGCAAGAAACGTACTTCAGCCTCCTGACGTGCCGAAATTGTATGGCTTCATTCGACAGCTTCGTGCGGGGGAAGACGTGGAAGCAGCTCTGAGTGGAATATGCAATCTCCTGCGCGATCCGGCGTGCAAAGAGCTTCTGGACTTGATGCCGAAAGTGTTGAACGGCGTAATGTGCGACCGCTTTATTGAGGCAGCTCGAGACCACGGGTTGGAGGTGTCGGTAGGAAGTTCAGCTCAAGGTTCTTCGGCTCGAGCGCAGCCGACAGATATGTCGACGTTCTTCGAACGACTTCAACAAAAGAAGAGAAAGACTTACCGTGATCACGTTCCCACTGCGGCTGTCGTAAAGGACCCACAGTGCTTTGTGTGCTACGATATAACGCGCAAGGCCTATGCGTCACAGTGCGGACATATTTGCTGTCATCCTTGCTGGAAAAAGGTAAGTGACGATCAATGCGATGTGGAAGCTGGGAGTGTACTGATTATGTTTGTGATTAAACGTTCATGTAGATGGAGAAGGATGGCTTCACCTCCTGTCCAGTGTGCAAGATCCCAATCAAGCTAGAACAGCTAAGTTTGATTCGAGCAGCGAAAGATTCGTGAGGCCGCCATGGCACGAGTTGACGAGTTTTGAAAGGCAATGCACTCAAGTGAGAAGTCAACGTCTCGTCACTCCAGTATCTTTTGAGTGTTGAATGAGTGGGCGGTTCAGAATTGTCGATCCGATCTGATCCGTTCGTGGTGGTTTTGGATTCCAGCTTGGCGCTCAGATGATCCGTGGGGGCCGCTTCAATGCAGAAAACCGCTCCGGAGGTGCGTGGTTTATCAGTTCGCTGCGGTTTGCGTGTTTTGCATCGAATGTGCTGGAATGAAGGCGCCTTGGATCCGTTTTCCAAAATATTCAACGGCTAACTGCTCAACATTAAACGTGATAACGGACGAATCCGCTACAAGACAACGGTATAAATAGTCGGTCAACGGCAACTTGCCAACTGCAAACGACAGCGCTCGACGCTCGAGTGTTCATGGCTCAGGCAGCTCCTGATCTTCTCGGAACAGTCTGATCAAGGCTCAACGCTATGGCCAATGGTCGTTTTGGGTCGTTTTACATTTTGCGCGTGTGCTAGCAGCTGCCGTGACTGGCAGGTGACCGACTGACATTTCTACGCTCCGACCTTGGCCACCCCGACGATTGCGGATTCGAAATCACTTTTCGACTTCCCGTCCCTACGGCGAAGCATTTCCCACAGTCACGCCTCGTCAGCTTGCTGTACTCCACCTAAAACGTTTGTTGAAGTGATCTTGTCGACAAACTTCAACACGTAGCTGGCCACTCAACTCAAATCCCCTTTCACCCACCAGTATCCCCAAGATGTTCTTCGCAAATGGCTTCGTTGAAACAGACCGACGTGCGTCGACTGTATGCCCGGATGAGAGCGATATCCTACGTGAACTCTTGCTCGACGGTGAGTTCATGTCACCACGACAGCTGCCTCCAACGCCAGCCAAGACGTTCGGAGACAACTTCTTCAACAGCAATCCCGCTACCACGCCCGGTTTCTCGAAGCGAAGCAATCAACAAGTCGACGTCTCGTTCCCTCAAATCTGCTTCGACAACTCGCCCCACTTCACGCGCTTGCAGCCATTGTCCAATCGAAGTTGCACCAGCTTCTCGTTGCCTAACCAGTCTCCACTTCCAGCATCCGTTGTCAACGCAATTGTGTCGCCACCGCGTGTATTCGTGCAAGAGTTCGCTCGTCTTCCCCACCCGTTCTTTCACGACAATATGTCCATGGACATCGACATGCGTAGCAACAGACCTGAGAAATCCACCGTGTCATTCCTGACGTCTTGTCTCCCTCCTGCACCTCTGCCCATGCTGTCAATGCCTCCGCTCAAGAAGAAGAAACTCTCGGCCACCACCACGTCGTCAAGCAACGACAGGAAGCAATTGCGCTGCAAGTATCCGGACTGTCCGAACCTGCGTCGTTCTGCAGGTTTCTGCAATCGCCACAGTGGCAAAGTGTGCAGTATTTCGGGCTGTAACAAGTCTGCACTGAGCCGGGGAAAGTGTCCCGAGCACGGTGGTGGCTCTCGCTGCAAGAAAGAAGGTTGCTCCAAGTTTGCCCAGACCCGCGGACTGTGCAAGTCACACGGCGGTGGCCGCCAGTGCAACGTCAGTGGATGCACCAAGAACGCGCACCAGAACCGACTGTGTCGCTCACACGGTGGTGGCAAACGATGCGACTACTTTGGATGCCCCAAGTGGGCACAGCGCTCTGGATACTGCTGTGCCCACACCAAGATGAGCTATAATGGCGCCTCACCCGATGGAGACTCTCAACGGTCTCATCCCAACATTCCAGCAATTATCACGTCGTCTTCTGCGTGTATGCTTCCAGCTCCCGTCCCGTCCCCGACCTTGCTGTCTCCACACCGCCTCTTCTCGTTGCTGCCATAAATGGCGCTCTACATCCCAGATAATCATATCCCCAAGAGACTACCAACTACGTCGAGACAGATCGACGAGTAGTCTAAAAAGGCGCTGGCTCGCTAAAAGAAGCGAGCTTTGCAGCGGGTCGACGGATAGCTGCCGTCCGTGTAGAATGCATTATTTACGTGCCACCGCACGACTACAGCAGCAAAACATATAAAGAGTAACAATCCAACGGAAGATGTATACTGTAGCCCCACTGCAACTACTTCTTAGGCTTTACACGGGGGTGATGACGCCACGTTCGACTAGGTCCGGCACCTCGGCAGCGAGCCACGGAGCCAGCTACAATACAACAATCCAGCTATAATCAGTACTCTTTAGTATCAGTAACAAGCCCATTTATAATACGTACGCCGAGAGCGAGGGCGTGGGCGACACCGAAACGGGGCACATTTTTCTGCCACAGCGGCGCGAAGTGGATAGTGAGGCAGATTTTGCCACCTCGGTACATTTTGGACGTTTTGCCTTCGAGTTCAGGGATACAGAGCTCTAGATTGGCCACCGGGTACGTGGCTGGGATTTCGAATTCGAGGTCGAACTCGTAGCGCAGTCCGTTGTGGAAAGACCAACATTTGCCCGTCCAGCGCGTTCCAGACTTGTTACTCTCGATGGTGAACCAGTCATTGTCCGCCTCCTTGTTCATCTTGACGTACTGAATCAACGCGAGATACTCCTCTTTGAGACGCTTGGTCCAGGACTCGCCATCGCGCGGGCCGGCACGCGTCGTCAGCAACGGGATTTTCTGCACTGTGCGCTTGGTGTTCTCATCGATCGGCGCGTCCATCGTCTCGACTTGGTAAGAAAAATATGGCAGCTTGCTCGCAATTTATTTGACCAATCAGAGAGTGAACTGGAGGAAAGTTTCAGAGTGCTTTTTTCATGTACTGAAGTTGACCAGTCCTCCTCGTGGTTAACAATCCAATTTGCCCTCTTCCAACCTCATGGACCATATCTCCAGTCACGAGAATAAAAAATTTAAGGTATCTTTATCTGGTGGCAATCTCTACGACTATTTCGTTGGCTGGCTCCAACACGGCCGAGACACACCCCGTCGCTCACGACCCAGAGCTGTACCGTACATACAGCCGGAACGAGCAGTATTGTAGTGGATGCAACAAGGATACGTCCCTTGTGCTGGACGACGTCCAGTGGACGCCAATTGGAAACAAGGAGGGCACGCTAAACAACTGGCACGGGAAACAATGGGACACATACATTTGCTCACGACGATGGCTCCGCGACGGGAACTTTGAGCTAATCTATGTGCAAGATGGTGTCACCTACGAAATACACGCTACGTGGTCGGGTATCGAAGACATGAAGTCGCTCACGGAGCCGCAGTGTTCTTCAGCCAAGACAGAGTTCTGGTGATGGAGGTTATCACAACGTGATGAAACGAGTTGCCACTGTAAACGACTTGGCTGTGTCGATCGCGAAGGCAAATCCGGTCCACGATATATACACGAGAATCGATGTTGGTGCGATGAGCTTGAGCGTCAGACTGTCCGTGTCGGCTACGTTAAGCGCAGGACTCGCACTGGCCACGATAACGTCGGCTCCCAGCACCTCTACCCGCCGCCACAACAGATATGCGGAGCTGGTCTGAGTTAATGTTGCGTGTACCGGTATCCACTGCGTGTATACAGAGTTGAGCTTGACTCTTTAATGAAAACTTGAAGCTTGAAAATTCTTGTTAGATGATACTCATGATCCAGAGAAAATAATTATTAAAGTCGATTTTGTTTTGCCTAGGCTTCACGCTCAATGTTGTCCACACTCTCGCGTACTGGAGGCAGGTCTCGAATGAAGGCGTCGATGCATATTCCGCTATAGAAGGAGATACGGCGGTCCATCTGCCATTTCTCTTGACGGCTTCTGCCTTGATCCAGTCATTAAACTTCTCCCACAGTTGGCGAATGATGTCCTGAAATTTGTTTCCGTTCGCAACAAAGTCGTCGAGCTTCTCACCAGAATTATCTCTTTGCGCGACCGTAGACTAAACAATTGGCTGGACAGTCAACTGGAATAATCGCGAAGGCTGTCGCGAGGACTCTGTAGCCAAAGATGGCGTAGGAGGTATTGATACTTGACGCGCGCGGAGTAGATGAAGACTGAACAACATCAGGAACACGCGGTATGCTTGACGAAGCATCTCGCGACCTAGCGCTAAGCGGTGGAGGCTGTTGCGTTGGTGATCTTCGCCGCTGCTGGTAGGACAACGTCCTCGCTCGAGATTGAGACGGGGACTTGCGCGATCGAGCGCTCATAACTTCGGCAACTTTTCTACCGGAGTACCGACTTTCTCTTTTAGAACAACACAATGGCGTTTTGTGTTGCTGGGTAAGTTATTGCAAGTTATATTACGCTAAAAATTTCAAATGCGGAAATGTAATTTTTACAGTGTCTATTAAGTACGAGATTCAATAAGTACGAGTTGTACAGACCTTTCATTTCCAAGAAGGGGGGAAAAGCAAGATGCCGAAGCAGCAAGCGCGCCGAGAAGCGCAGAGCACAGGTAAAACACAAGGGACATAGTGACAGGCAACCTGCAGCACGTTGTCCTAATCTACAACGTTGTGTTCTATCATGTATAGGGCGCTGTCTACGAGCAAGACCGCATGTCGACTACCTACTTGCTGGACGCGGATTTATACACGATTCCAGTAGCGACGAAGACTACGTTGATGACCCTCTGGTTACGGTTGAGGATATCGCAAATGAGGATGCAGACATGGAGGGCCTGGAGAACGAAGCCTGCGATGATGCGCGCAAGGTCGATACGTTACCGGGTGGGAAGGATACGGGCGCTGTGGCGGGCGAGAGCGACAGCGCTTCCGGGGAGAAGAGCGTTGCGGCGGGCGAGAAGGACGTCGCTACGGGCGAGAAGGATGTGGCTGCCGGTGAGAACGACGACGCCGCCAGTTTTGCGGCGCGCGAGAAGGATGTGGCTGCCGGTGAGAACGACGACGCCGCCAGTTTTGCGGCGGGCGAGAAGGATGTGGCTGCCGGTGAGAACGACGACGCCACCAGTGTTGCGGCGAGTGTGAAGGATGACGCTGCGCGCGAAAAGGCCGTGGCTGCAGACGCCAAAGCCACCGCCGCGGAGCCGGGTGATAACAACGCGTTGGCCGATACAGGTGTATATCCCGGTCGATTTCTTTTGTTGCTGATACATTACTTGTGTTGCTTACTATGTTGCTTTGAATGTTGCTTTCAATGGTTACAAAACTAAAGACTATGCACGGGCATTTGTTGATGCCGCCCGTACCAATGCCATCGAAAAAAGTCGCAAACGGAAGCAGCTGTCCGTGCCGTACAGCCGCAAATCCTGCCATGGTGCCTTTGAGATAAACGAAAGCGAAGATTTCTCACCAAAGCGATCAAAACCTGGCACATATAGCCTGGGATCAGCTGGGGCTCATTTCACGGCGTCGGCGAAGAGCAAAATTGTGCGACGCCGGACAAAAACGTACGACAGTCGTGAAAAAATGATGAAGGCACATCAGGCAGTTGAAAACGTCAAGCCACCACTTCCAGTGAGGACGTTTGACAGTTAGGAGACTTTTCAAGAGACCCTTCGCTGTTACGAGGCTGAAAACTATCTGCACTATCGCGTTCGAAGCTCTGAAACCCGTGCCAAGTGCAACAGGTCCGTATTTTGTTAGCACATGTACAGCATGCGCTGTTGCTAACATTGTTGATTTTTGTTATGTTGTTTGCTATGTTATTTGTGTGTGTTGCTTGTTGTGTTGCTTAATCAAGTCGCCCTAGGGCAACTATCATTCCCGAGCGGTTTTCTCACAGTTTTAAACGAATGTGGTGCACTCATGGCGCAACACAGTCGGCTCGTGGTGATGGACGGCGTGATTGTGACTTGCGATACACGGGATGCATGGCAAGTTTCTTGGCGAGAACTGTCAACGTTGTCGAAAAAGGAGTTGCTAAATGGAAGGTGACTGTGGATCCGGACTCGGAGGTATGGCTATTATGATGCATTTTCTTTAACGTTTCTTAACAACTATTATTTGCTTAGATCTCCACCCACAATCCCAAGACAAGCAAGAATATCTACGATTCCTATCGCGGGGCCAGGTCGTTGTCGGTCCCACCCCAGGTGCGCAGGGAGCTTGGGCTTCTGACAGAAATAAAAACGAGCACTTCTGATATCAACCGATATCTTTCGAATCAGCTTGGTGGGTGTCGCTGGTGAATTTGGCTGTAGCAGTATCTATTTTTTTATTCAGTTTTGCTAACTTAATTTATAATCACTCTCCTTTTTTTGTTGTTGATGATATCCAGATATGGTTTTAACACCACAACAAACGAGAAATCTGCTCCGTCAAGTATTGGGCACGACAACCCTCGAGCGCACTAAAACTATTCTCGATTATTTTGCTGACGGGAATGCCGGTAATGACGTCCTATTAGTTCAGGACCAAATGGATATCACTTGTGTGATTGCGATGCAAACGTGCATTCAGAAAAAGTGTTTTGCACAGTGGGGTGACACGCTAGTCATGGACTGGACACATGGGACCAATAATTTGGGATATCATCTGGGTAACGTCGATAATTATATTATCCTTGAAGTGAGGTCTGATATCATACTCGTGTATATGCTACAGGGAGTCTTGTAGTTACAACCGCTACAGGCAGAGGAATGCCTGTAATTGATTTTCTAGCCCTCGACCAAAAAGCTGTCACGATGGAGCTCATTGTTGAGTTTTTCAAACGCAAGAATCCGTCCTGGCAATCAATCCAGACCGTCGTCATCGACAAGGACTTCGTTGAGTGGCGAGTGCTGAAGGAGGCATTTCCTGGCGCTGATGTTTTACTTTGTCAGTTTCATGCGCTAACGTACTGGCGCAAGGTTTGTAAGCGGAAAGAGTATAATTTGGTGACAGAGAGGGAAAGGTTGGAGTCGGCATTCGCGAAATTCATATACTGGTGCGTGCTTGTGCTGTGTTGTTTGTTGTGTTGCTAGCTTGTGTTGTTTGTTGTGTTGCTAGCTTGTGTTGTTTGTTGTGTTGTTAACAATATGTTGCCGGTTGTGTTGCTGAAAACAGTAAAACCAACCGACATTTGACTCAGAAGTATCCACGTTCAGACAAATTTGTAAGCTAGAATGCCCAGCGCTGCAGAAAGATTTCGAGGCGAATTGGGAATCTTGTGTTGGAATGTGGGCAGACCACGTCAGGGGCAATTAATTCACGGCCGGTAACACGACGACGAACAGGATCGAGTCAAACTGGAACCAGCTAAAACTTCTGCTGGGGAAGCGCCCCCGACTTGACTCAACAGTGAGTGGACTACTATCTCACCAGGCTACCATAACAAGCCCTCTCATTACCGCTATGCACAAGCATACGTCAAGGTCGCGACAGCCCGATGGCGTTCCCGGATTTCTCTCTCTAGTGTCAAAGCACCTGAGCGACACAATGCTGGCTAGCGTACGCACGCAATGGGACTACTTTATGGTATTCAGTGCTGCGACAACATGCATTAAGCGTGGTTCTGATGTTGGTGAGTGGGAAGTGCGGACGGGGGAGCATACACATCAATGCAACGACTTTCAGTGGTCATGTTCGTGTCTGTTCATCTGCAGCTACAATCTACCATGTCAACATTTGATGTACATCGCTGCCAATGTTCATCAATTTGAGAGTCTGCCAGTATCAACTATACCTAAGCGCTGGGATATGCTGGCGATGGCGAATATGGATCGAGAATTTGCAGATGGTGTATGTATGCTCCAGACAGTGCAGGCAGCGATGAAAGATGCGG